GGGGGGGGGGGGGGGGGAGCAGTGCGTGGTGACGCAAGGCACTTATACAGGCTTCCATACAGGTCCACATGTGTACATTTATGTGCCACATGGTGTGCTGTACTGTCATTCTGCGACTCTCTGTTGTTCTCGACGCACGTGCTTTTCGACCGGTGATCAATAGGTGCCGCAGCAACTCGCCGGCAAAGTTGAAAAGAAAATTTATAAAATATTTCTCTTTTATAATCCTTGGATTTATCTTCTAGATATTACAAAATGGTGTTATTCTTTACAAGTGATGGTGAGTATAATTTCGTGGCTTGAATTTTCACATTTTACATTTGAATTGCTTCTTATTGATTTTGTGAAAAGTCAGAAGCGTTTGATTTTAAACAACTTATTTTCTTTTTTAGTGGAGCAAAAACCAGTGACTTTGTTAATGGGAGTTGATAAGTATGAAAGTGAGTATTTTGTTCTTTACGTTGCTTGAAAAATGAGCTCAATAATCTAAGATATAACATTATTTTATAGATGAGGATCTCATAAAGTGGGGTTGGCCAGAAGATGTTTGGTTTCACGTTGACAAATTCTCATCTGCCCATGTATATTTGAGATTAAAATTTGTAAGTATATTTATCAATGAATAAGAAACATTTTTTTATATATCTAAATTTCTATTACATTAATCTTTAGGGTCAAACCATTGATGACATTCCTGACATTGTCTTGGAAGATGCAGCCCAGTTAGTCAAAGCCAATAGTATCGAAGGAAACAAAGTCGATGACATTGATGTCAATTATACTATGTGGACAAATCTCAAAAAAACCCAAGGCATGGACGTTGGGCAAATTGGTTTTCACAACCAGAAAGAAGTCCGTAAAATTCATGTGTCTACACGCCTTAATACTGTAGTTAATCGTCTAAATAAAACTAAAGAGTCAATGAAAGTTAATTTACGTGCTGAGAGACAGGCAAGGGACAAAGGAGAGCAAAAAGATAAGAGAAAACCATCAAGAGAAGTAAAAGAGAATTCACAAAACCCTGATTTGGTTCATAACAGCGAAAATCAGTCAAGAATAAAACTTAACTCCGGTAGAAAAAGAAGAAATGCCTCAAAATAACAAAAATTCAAAAAAATGAAAGTGTTTATGAACTGCAATAAATTCTTAATTGTGATGCAGTGCCAGTATTATTTAAACTAGTCAGTGATTAGCATGTGTTTATTAGCATGGTGTAACCTGCAATAAATTCATAATTGTGATGTAGTGCCAGTGTTACATTTCCAACTAGCCAGTATATGTTTATTTGCGTTAAAATTGTAAAAAAAATTGAGTTGTCAATATTTGTAAGCGAACGAGATGCCTTAGAAAATATTGTTTTTATTGTTGCGACGTTCTTAAAAATTAATTTTAATAGATGGTATCTCTTGTAATATAATCGTCATTGGGATATCCCATTGATATCATCGAGATATTCCAAATGATACATATTACAATTTATAATCGTGTATACACAGAAAAATATTGTACTATCTCTACAATAAACGAAGACAGAAAACAGAATTTTTCTTAATCCAATATAGTCTTTTCTTTCCACTCCTCAAAATGTATTCTTCTCAGTCTTCTTCGGAGGCCGCGGCCGCTGGATCGGCCAGAGCATCCGGTATCGTTACCGTGCACGGCCCCTCGAAGTGATACTGAAATTCTCTCGTGGCCGGGGTGGTTTCGAGATTGAACTCGGCCACGGGAACGCCTCTCTGGGCCACTTGGGGCGCGAACATAGCCGCCGGGTAGACTATCGAGGAGGTGCCGACGATCAGGCAAGCGTCGCAAGTTTCCACCGCCTCGCCTGCAATATTCATGATTTAAATATTATCGTATTCGTTGCTGTATTTTACGATATAATATATATCTTACTGGTCTTGTCGAGAATATCGGAGTCGAGACCCTCGCCGAACCACACGATATCCGGCCTGAGAAGTCCTTTACAGCTCTGGACGCTACATCTCGGCAGCTCGTCCAGTGGAATGTTCGACGAGACGAAGTTCGGTTCCGCCGATCTGCGCAAAACAAAACGTCACGATTTAATTACTCGTAACGACAATTGCTGAGTCACTGCAATGAGTACGCACATGTCACCCGCCAACGCCGGACAAATTGGTATACCGTGATTAGTCTCCTTTATCTTGCACTTGGTGCATCTGGTTCTGAAGAGCGAACCGTGAAGCTCGAGGACGTTTTTCGCCCCCGCGACCTGATGCAGCTCGTCGATGTTCTGCGTCACGATCGTCACTCTGCGATTCTTCTTCGCCAGTCTCTCTTGAAATTCGGCTATGGCACGATGAGCCTATATACATCGATACACAGAGGGTAAGGTATTCGCGTATTACGAAAGTACGATAATATGCTATCTTACTTCGTTCGGATGGACTTTTTTCACCAGTGCCCGGCGATACTCGTAGAACTCCCAAACCAACGACGGATTCGCGGCGAAGGCCTCGGGGGTGGCCAGGCTCGTGGCCTGATACTTGCGCCAAAATCCACCTGGCCCGCGAAACGTCGGTATGCCGGACTCGGCGGATACTCCGCTGCCCGTGAGGATCAGGACGTGCCGAGCGTTGGCCAGTGTCTCGCGAAACGAGTTCATCACTGCTTGCATTATGATCGCAGGCTGCTGAGTGGTAGTGACATTTCGCCTGCAGCAGCAAGCAACAGCGAGTGCACAATCTCGCGCCGCGAGTTTGTGTTTTGAACAGCTGTTCCTTGTGTATAGTTATAAGTATATACTTGCGCCGCGTGTGTAACGTCATTGTACTTATGCGTTGTTCGCGGCGCACATGCCATGCTGATCATCGACCGGTGATATTTGCAATACCAAAGTCGAGCTTTTTCCTCGTTAGTGTTTGGAATTAGATTCTAGATATCGGAAAATGGTTTTCTTCTTTACGAGCGATGGTGAGTCGATAATTTGGTTCGTTTGATCTTTGAATTAACCATTGCATACATTTGACATTTGAACTGCTTGTTATTGATTTTGTGAAAGGTTAGAAGCGCTTGGATTTTAAAACATAAACTTTACTTTTTCAGTGGTGCAACCACCAGTGACGTTGTTCATGGGAGTTGACAAGTATGAAAGTAGGTATTTTGTTCTTTACGTTGATTGAAAAATGAGCTCATTAATCTAAGATATAACATTATTTTATAGATGAGGATCTCATAAAGTGGGGTTGGCCAGAAGATGTTTGGTTTCACGTTGACAAATTCTCATCGGCCCACGTATACTTGAGATTAAAATATGTAGGTACATTCATCAACAATTCAGAAACATTCTTTTTTAAATATCTTAAATTCTATTATTATGGTTATCAGGGTCAAACGATAGATGACATTCCTGGCAGCGTTCTGGAAGATGCAGCCCAGTTAGTCAAAGCCAACAGTATTGAAGGAAACAAAGTCAATGACATCGATGTCGTTTACACTATGTGGGCAAATCTCAAAAAGACCCAAGGCATGGACGTTGGTCAAATTGGTTTCCACAAGGAAAAAGAAGTCCGTAAAATACATGTGTCTAAACGCCTCAATACTGTAGTTAATCGTCTAAACAAAACTAAAGAGTCTAGAGAAGTGAACTTCCGCGCTGAGAGGGAAGCAAGAGACAGAAGCGAGCGAGAAGATAAGAAAAAGTTACTAAGAGAACAGAAGGAAAAGGAAAAGGCTGAAGAAAAGAGACGTCAAGAGGAAGCTGAGCTGAGGTAATTGTTATTCTTTTTGATAAGTGCATGATAATTTTTGCTCAAAATTATAAAAAACTTTCTTATTTGTAGGAGCTACAACTCTTTATTCAGCTCTGCCAAAATGACTACCAACACAGACAATTCAGGTTACGATTCAGATGATTTCATGTGATGAACTCATTAAATCAAAATTACTTTATAACTAATTAATGTATATTGTTCTAAGATTCTCTTTACTGTACAAAACTTCAATAGATAATTTTAACCTGAATAGTTCAGAAGTTTCATTTGACATAAAGAAAATAATCTCCTGAAATGCTTTGGAATTTGATTTAATTCTAAAATTAAGTACAAAATACAGTACAATTATTGAAATTCAATAAATTGTCCACAGGACACAAATATAATTTACATTTGATGGAAATCCAAACATTAATAATTATAATAATTTAATATTTACTGCTTTTAAAGCATCAATTATCCATTGTGGATACTCCTTATCAGGGTAAACATTTAACAAGTAATCACGAACAAAATCTGGAAATCTTTGCTCTACAATACTTTGACGAATATTTCTCATAAGTTTTAATTGAAAAGCCACATTATGAACACTTAATAAATGACATGCATTGGTTTCTACAGTGACTATTTGATGAAGGAATGCTCTGCTGTGTGTTTTGCAAGTTTCACAATCACAGTTTTCATCTATTGGTCTCATATCTCTATCATACTCGCCTCTTTTCAAGTTTAATTGTCCACTGGGTACCAGAGCACAGCCAAATCTCTGAAATTCAATTATAATTGTATTATTATGATGGAAAAAGATCAAAATTTAAATTGTAAGAAAAGATACATACAGCTGTTCTTGTTGGAAATACACAGTCAAACATATCAATTCCTAATGCGACACAAACTAGCATATCTACAGCAAAACCGACACCCATTAAGTAACGTGGCTTATTCTTTGGCAAAATATCTGTAGAAAGATGAACCATTTTCCAAAATTCATCTTTACTTTCTCCTCCACTCAGACCTCCAACGGCAAAACCATTGACTTCGCGCTGTGTTAATTGCCTAGCAGATTCTTTTCTCAATTCTGGATACAATCCACCCTGTACAATGGGAAAAATACTTTGCTCTGTGGGTCTTTGATGTGCAGACAAGCATCTGTCCACCCATCTTGTAGTTCTAAATATATAAAAGTCAGTTAAATTCAAATATTCAATAATTGTTTTTCTTTTGAATATTTTATCTTACCTCTGCATAGCTTCTTCTACTCTAGGTCCAGTCGTCGTACTGGATACTACATCATCCAATTGCATGATTATATCAGCTCCTATTGCATTTTGAATTTCAATCGACCTTTCAGGAGTCAACATGCATTCAGAATCATCAAATGGACTTCTGAAATTAACACCATCTTCTGTAATTTTAGCAAGCTTCAGTAAAGACACCATTTGAAAGCCACCCGAGTCAGTCAATAAAGCTCGCTTCCAATTCATAAACTTGTGTAATCCACCGGCTTTCTTAAGAATCTCTGGACCCTGAATTAAATCATAATTAATAATGTAGAAAAATAATTATACAAGCAAAAAAAGGGCAAAAAAAAAATTCAAACTTACAGGCCGATTACCCAAGTGATATGTATTTCCTAAGATTATTTGACAATCCAATTCCTCCAACTGTTGTGGCAGTATACCTTTCAAAGTTCCCTGTTACAATGAAAAAGATTATTAAAAAAAAGTCTTCAATTAACTCTCTACTCAAAACTTCGAGAAATTTAAAAATGACAATCACCTGAGTCCCAACAGGCATGAATACCGGCGTGTCCACGTGATGATGCACGAGCTGCATAAAGCCGGTTCGGGCCTTCGTGACTGGACACTCGGCCCTCACCTCGAACTCCAGGGGTTTCTTGCTGCTTTCCGCGGGCATTTTCATCGATGCCTCGTGCTGACAGCTGGTTAAATCGCGACTGTTTTTAATGCAATTATTGATAATAACTCGTAAAAATGATGAACAGCGTCGTCTGCTGCTGAGCATGGCAGTACTACTACTACATGTGTCATATACTATAGCCTATATGCTGCGCTGCTCGAGCCATGTGCGCAAGTGGCGGAAACTAACACTATATACCTATACTCGTACAGAACGGATTACGGAGTTCAGTCAGTGAGTTGACAGCCACATGAATTCGAAAGTTTCAAATTCTCATTCGAGGCCCAATAGTGCTCATAAACGTGTCAACGGACCCATAACCTACATATATCTACGCAACAGTGCAGCGAGTGCATTCTTGGTGAAGAAGAAAAAAAAAATCTTAAATTACAATAGCGATAATCGTGTGTTTTTGTGAGTGCTTCAAGATGTTTTCAGACTCTGATATTTGTCCTTATGACACGAATTTTCACCACAGTGACCCATCTGAATTGTTCAGTAAAAATCATAACGATAGCGACGATGATGAAATGTCCTACACCGAGCATTGTTGTTCGGAATCGGCGATCTTAAATGACCATTGGATGGACACTGATTACTTCAGCAATGGTACGGACTCTTTGAACCAACTACGCATTCTACGCGGAAGGATCGATCTGAAGATCGAGGACGATCGCTGGAAATTTCTCCATCAATTCTACTGGTTGATCAAAAATTGGCGGGGCCAACTACCGAATCTGCGCGAGCTCTTTCGAGGCCCACAGATCGATCGTCTCCTCCAGGACGCGGTGGCACGCATGCACGAGCTCGTCCAAGACGACCGCGATCCAGCTTGCGTCGTCGTCGAGTTCGTGGCTCGCACCGGCTACAAGGACGATCAATCATCATCGGACGGGCAGCAGCAGCAGCAACAGGTGCGTCGCATTCGCACCACCGCGCTGCATCGCGCGACCAGACGCCGCCCCGAGTTGGTGAAAAATTTGTTCGAGATTTACCGCGACAACGGCGGCTACGCGAATCACAGCGACGCGGCGGGCTTGACGCATTTGCACATAGCCTGCGAGTACGGCTTCGCGGAGGTGGCGAGGAAATTTCTCGAGGCGGGCGAGCATCCTAACAGTGTCTGTCGTGTGACCGGCGACTCGCCGCTACATTCGGCGCTGAGGTGGGACCAGGAGCAACTGGTCGAGCTGCTGCTAGCGAACGGTGCCGATCCGAATCTTGCAAACTGCGTCACGGGGGAGACGCCTCTGCACTTCTTGTGCGACTACGAAGGCGACGACGACGACGTGGACCCGGTGACGACCAAGTTCTTCTGGATCTGCGACAGAGAGAATCGCCGGCTGAATCTCGACGCGCGGGACAACGACGGCAGTACGCCCTTGCAGCTGGCTCTGAAGCACAAGAACTCGACGATGTTCGCGCGTCTGCTGGGCCGAGGTGCCGACCCTAATTTGCGGGACAAGAAAGGGTCGACGACGTTGCATGAGATCTGCGGCCGCGAATACGACGACTCGTGGGCGGAGACGTTTTTTCGGATTAACGAGGTAAGAGGTACAGAAGTGCCGATCGACGCCCGGGACAGGAAGGGCAGGACGCCGCTGCACTTGGCTCTGCGTAGCGGCAACTGGACGATGGCCGAGCGCCTGCTGCTGAGAGAGGCTGATCTGGGACCGATCCTGGACGAGGAGGGAGCGACGGCTCTACACATCGTTTGCCAGAGAAAAGAAGAAAAGGATAATGACTCGGTAAAGAAGTTCTTTGAGATCATCCAAGAAAAACGCCAGCTGCAGGTGCGGATCGATGCCAGAGACAAGAAGGGCAGGACACCGCTGCAATGGGCGGTGGCGAATTTTTTGCCGGCTACCGTCGACGCACTACTGGATCAGGGCGCCCAGCTATCGAACTTTGTTTTTCCCAGCGAGGCTCACTACGGCGAGACGTTCCCGACGCAGTACGCCACCGGCGACTCCAAACTCAAGCTGGTTTGTCGTGCTCTGCTATGCCTCGATTGCCTGGATAGGAGAGGCTATCAACTGTGCAACGATGACGCGCTGACGATCGTCAAGCTCTTTGCCAAGTTCGAGCTGTTCGCGAATCCGGCGGACCGGTACTTACCGAGCCACGAGGAGTTCGCGAGACGAGCGAAAGATATCAAGATAGACGAGAGCCAGTCGTCGTTGTACGACCTGATCGAGTCGAGACCGATGGAGGCGGCGAAACTGATCGCAATCGAGTCTCCCGCGATTCCCCCGGAGTTCTACTGGTACAACGAGCTGCATCTGTGCGAGATGGTGTCGAGGGAGTTCAGTCTGCGCTGGTCGCTGTATCCATTCTGGGAGCTGATACATTACCGGCTACCTATCGAGTGCTGCGAATTAATAGTCGATCAGCTGAACAACAAAGATTTATTCAATGTTAAATTGGCGATTGCGAGTGGCGAGGAAAATGTAAATCGAGAGTCATAAATGCAAACAGTGATATAGCTTTGATTTGTAGAAAACAAATAAATCAAGTTCATTAATATTCTTAGATTTTAATTTTTTCTGTATAGCTGTGCAATTGTGATTGTTGTGTGTAATATTAAACTGCAAAACGAATTTTTGCAGACATGACATTGTTTTGTTACGAACGCTTTCCATAATTAATTTAATTGATTTTTGTGTGATGTACAATAGTTGTGTACAGTGATATTTACAAAATAATCATAAGAGAGTTTTATGTACTGTGTATTAATTAATTTTCTTAGATTTTAATTTTTTGTGTAACATAGCTTTTAAATGTATAATAGGACATTTCACGTCTTGCAGCTTTTCTTACAAAAGCTGCTTATTCATTTTTGTATTATTGACAAAAAAATTGTAAATAATAAAAGTTTTTTAATTAAAAAGTGAAATATACCTCAACAGTCTTCACAGTCAATCTTTCCCCTCGATGAAAATCCAAACTTTCGCGCTACAATTGCGAAATCGATATTAATATTCATTCAAAAAGCGCGCAATCGCAGTTCTGCGAGCCAGCAGAAAACTCGTCGTTATATATATAGTATATTACACGCACACAGCAGCGTGGCAGAGCCTGAGATAGTGATTTCGCGGCGCGCGACCTTCTCATGACATTCGTCGCCCGTTGCCACTATCAAACGTGTCGTCTGATCGATCGCATCATCCTCCTCTCGCAGTCGCAGTTACAGCAGTCCCTTGGCGATCGTCTTCGTTGTTGTTACTACTCAACGTCGTCTCCGTCGTTCGTTGATAAAACTCGAAGCATCAGTTCTGTCAATTGTCATCGTAATAAAACTCGTCTAATTATGGCCCTCAACAAGCTCAGCATCGACAAGGTCGACCTTACCGGCAAACGAGTTCTTATCAGGTGATTTAATTTGTCGAAAGTCGATCGATGCGGTTGTGTCTCGGTGGAAACATTCGTTATGTTTGTCATCAACATTTATGAATCGACGTGTATCGATTTTTATTGAAAAAAACTTTCTAAAACATTAGCGTGTTAATTCGATGTTACGTGTAACTATTTTAATGATGATTCGTCCGAGACACTTGGCATTGAATTCTATTTATCGAACTTTGCCATTGTCAAAATAGACGAAGGTTCAAGTTGTCACAAGAGTGATTCGTACTTGTTTTGGAACGATTCGTCGTTTTCACGTGCTCTAATTACTTTTATTGCGTCACTAACGGAAAATTTTTTATTCGTTGTACAGAGTCGACTTCAATGTTCCCATGAAGGAGGGCAAAATTACCAACACCCAGAGAATCGTTGCTGCCCTCGACACTGTCAAATATGCATTGGAAAAGAAAGCCAAGTCAGTCGTGCTCATGTCTCATTTGGGCAGACCCGATGGATCCAAAAACTTGAAATACACCATGAAGCCAGTGGCAGACGAGCTGAAAACCCTCCTGGGCAAAGATATTCAATTTTTGGACGACTGCGTTGGACCAGCTGTAGAGGCTGCTTGCGCAGACCCAGCACCAGGAACCATCATTCTTCTGGAGAACTTACGGTTTCATGTAGAAGAAGAGGGAAAAGGTGTAGGTCCAGATGGTGCCAAAGTAAGATATCTTGTTTGCAATTGATTTTTGTATTATTTGATTTCATTTTAATTCTAACGATCCTTTTTAGATTAAGGCAGATAAAGACAAGGTCACAGAATTCAGAGCATCTCTGAGAAAGCTTGGTGATGTCTACATCAACGATGCCTTTGGTACTGCTCACAGAGCCCACAGTTCTATGATGGGTGATGGTTTTGACATCAGAGCCAGTGGTTTCTTGCTCAAGAAAGAGCTGCAATACTTTGCCAAAGCTTTGGATAACCCAGAAAAACCATTCCTTGCCATTCTTGGTGGCGCTAAAGTAGCTGACAAAATCCAGCTCATCAACAATTTGTTGGACAAAGTTAATGAGATGATTATTGGTGGTGGTATGGCTTATACATTCTTGAAGATCAGCAAAAACATGAAAGTAAGTTATTGAAGCGAATATTTAACAATTGCACTAGTTAGCATTTACAATATATTCTAATAAAACTTTTTTACAGATTGGTACATCATTGTATGACGAAGAAGGAGCTAAGATCGTCAATGAACTTTTGGCTAAGGCCCAGAAAAATAATGTACAGATTCATTTGCCAGTTGACTTCGTCACGGCAGAGAAGTTTGCCGAGGATGCGGCTGTCGGAGCTGCCGACGTCGAAACTGGAATTCCTGATGGCTGGATGGGTCTTGATGTTGGACCCAAGACCAGAGAATTGTTTGCCGGTAAGTTTTACAAAGATAATTTTTAGTAGATCGATTTTTTACTGATGAAAATGAAGAGATAAGTTAGTAGAACGATTCTCTGAATAGAAGAAAAATTAAACTCGTTAAAAGTAACTCACCATCAAAATATATATATCCTTATGAAATAAAATTTAAATGGTGAAAATTAAACTTAATATCAGATTTACAATAGTTCAATACTTTCATGAAAATTTATGGTATTCAATGATAAAATGTTGCATTTTATACCTAAAACTTCATTTATTGATAACAATGATTCATAAACAACAAAAATAAAACAAAATTTTATCATCTATACTTTTCAAATTAAAAATTCACGACTATTTTTCGATTCTGACAGAACCAATCAAGCGGGCTAAAGTCATCGTCTGGAACGGACCCGCTGGTGTGTTCGAATTCGAGAACTTCAGCAAAGGCACCAAGAGTCTCATGGACAACGTAGTCGAGGCCACGAAACGCGGCGCGACGACGATCATCGGTGGCGGTGATACCGCGACCTGCGCCGCCAAATGGAAGACCGAGGATCAAGTGAGCCATGTCAGTACCGGCGGTGGTGCCAGTTTGGAGTTGTTGGAGGGCAAAGTTTTGCCAGGCGTAGCTGCATTGTCTCCAGCATAAGGGAGAGAGTTTTGCTTTCAACTGTGATCACGTCGATTCGAGGGTTACCGAAATTCGCAATTTCTTTAGCCTTTTGATGAGTTATAGTGGTGTATATGAATAATAGTGTAACAATACATTGCTATTTAACGTAAACAATTTTGGTTTTATCCATTATTTCTCTTTTTTTATAAATTATAAGTAGTTTGTATTCAACTAAAACGATAGATAAACAATTATATTTATAAAAGTTGCCTGTTACACAATATATTTTTAAAAACAGAATCTTCTTTGCCTTTTTTTTCAATTAGATTAGTTATTTGCATACATACTTGCACCAATTGCACAAGTAATAAATTCAACTACTTTGATAGATTTCTTGATGTGTACCTATAACTGCAAAACACGCTTTCATTTTCTTGTGCAAAGTCAGCATTGTAAAAAATGTTGTAAACTTGATCGTCTGATTTTTTTAATACTAGTGCGTCCATGATTTTGCACATTGATTTACACGATTTACGAAAATTTACGTATTTTACACAAGTTCGCTCTGTTTTTTTCACATTACAGAGCAATTTTGCCCTTCCGTCAGTCCGGCCATGTTTTCAGGTGTGGCGGCACTTGGATCGACGTCAAGCGGGAAAATCGCTGGCTGCTCGTTAATTAAGTCTTGAGGAGGCTGACCGCAAGTTTGCATTTCTTGCATCAGCGATAATGTCGTTTCGAACCTCTTTTTCTTAATTTCTTCAGAATCATCCTCTTTTTCTGTTTCCAATTCTTGACAAACCTATAGTTACAGGATAAATTAATTAATGGAAAAATTCGTTATAAAAATTCTAAAATAGAAATCAGAAATTACTTTTTGCATGAGCATCAACTGTTTTTCATATCTAGCTAATTCTTCTGGTGATAACTTTTCTCTGTTTTCGTCAAGCCACGCTGGGTATTTGTCAATGAGGTCTTTCATTGAAGGATAAAGAACATCTTTGGATAACAAAGATTGCATCATTCCTTGCATGAAAGGAAGCATATCTTCTCCTGCATTCTCAAAAGATGCCTGTCCAAACATCGCTGCCAAATCTGCATCAGTTATATTTGGCACTCCCTAAAATACATCAAAATTAAATGCATGAACTTGAAATTTCATCGTTTCATACAATTGTAATGCTATAATTACCGCTGATAGCGTCTCAGACTGTGCTGATAAATCTTTCATCGCCTGAGCTATGGCCGATTGGAAATCTGCTGTGATATTTTCAGCTTCCGAAGTGTCTGTTGATATAGCTCCGGCAACTGTTTCTGCCATTTTTTTAAACGACTCTCCTAATTCTGTTCCTGCCTCTGAATAAACATACAGAAAATCAATGATAAATAACGACTTCAAGATCAATTTTGCTCAAATTTCATTATTTACCATTTTTCATGAGTTCCTCCAAATTTTTTTGAAACTGCTCGGCCGCCTGTTTCATGAAATCTTGCGTCCAGAGCTCGTCCATTTCCCCGGACGCCTGAATGACTTCAATCTCTCCATCAGCAGCGTCCGCCGATGGATTTTCATCTTTGTTCGTAGCTGCCGCCGCCGGCACGACTGGCTTGTCGAAATCTTTCAGCGCACCTTCAATATTTTTGAACGATTAGCGCTAAATACTTATGTAACCCATGACCCTCTTTAACGTAAGATTCTCAAAGATTACCAAAGACGATTCGATTTTTCGGAATTTCGTAAACGAGAAAATGATTATATTATTTTTCCTTCAAAGAGTTCACGTCGCGTGATCAATTTGTCATCGCGACAGAGGTAATCCCAACTTAAAATCCCCCCGAGGTTATGTTTTTATCAGCTCGAGCTTCGAGTAACTCTTTGTCTCTTTCGCAAAGAAAAAAGTCATGATCAATCGTAATATCGGATAAAATATCACACTCACTGTCCAGCAGTTCGCTCAATTCGTCGTCCAATTTCGGATCCGTTTCCTTCTTATTGTCGTCTGACATTTTTTCTAAAGTTTTTCTTCGCAATACACACGTACAGAGAGAAGAAAACAATTGTGTTAGGCAGTGCTAATCTCTGCGTCTGTCAACTCGATACTGGCTCCGATCGCTGCACTTCTGCTTTTAACTTCACCCGGACGGCGACTGAGAGCACAGAGAGAGCGCGCGGCAGCTTCGCAAAATTTACATTCTGCTATACTACCTACAACACAACGTCATGCCAAAGAACTGCACGCACTCCATTGTGCAGTGTATACCTATTAATACTATATTTTTACGGAGAGGTGTGCGTCGTGCCCGTGCATAAATGCGCGCATATATACGCGTGGAGGAGAGGCCTATGCAAACATGTGCGTCGGTGCATCTGTATGATTTGTATATATTTAGATAGGGTAAATAAGCGGAGATATAGCGCATTGCATTGGTTGAATCATCTTTATTTTAATATATTTTTCTTTCATTTCGATAATTTTGCTATTTGAGCTCGTTTTGTTATTATGCACAAGATATACACATGGAAATATACACATATAAATATATACGTCAATGTATTTTTGATTTTGAACAATTGACAATTTTCTTTTCTTCTTTTTTGTTTGCCATTTCACAGATTTAAAAAAAGTTATTCTTTTAAAAACAATATAATCTTCTAATCAAAACTTAAAAAAATTTAGTTAAAACAGACTCTTTTGTGAAATAAAAGTTTAACAATTTAACTATTATATTTGTAGATGTTTTTTATCTTTCTTGATCATCACCTTGGTCAGCAAAAACTTTGTCTAAAATTTCTTTGCACATTTGTTCTCTGTCTACGTCTTGTTCTTCTCTTGATTCCCTCAAATGCCTGTCTAAAGTTTGTTTTAAACATAATTCAGGTCTGCGGCACTCTTTTAATGCTGGATAATAATTATCACTGGTCAAACCATGAATTACACTTAGTAGTTGTTCCCTGGAAATTAAAATAAATTATTGTGAAAACTTTTCAAGTTAACCATTGTATTTTGTGAATAATGAATTTTCTAAATACCTTGTTTCTGGAAGTAAACTACTCATAGCAAGCAGACCAGCTGCTTGTTCAATTAGACCCATTTTAATAAATGTTAATCTTAAGTCTGTCTGTTTGTCCTTGGTGCACAATGACGACAATAAAAATGCTGACTTAATTTGTAACTTTTCAATAGGACTTTGCAAAGCTCTGATGAGAACTGAGTATCCATCATTGATTTCCATATGCATTAGCCCTACAGAGTGTCCTCTGATGATACCTAAAATGATAATTACAAAGTCAAACATTTGTTCTTTATACTTTGCATAATTTTGAATTTTAGCTACTTACAAGAAATTGCGTACAACGATTTAACCCTAACTATATCTGAAGGATCATTATCCACCATTCCAAGAAGAATTGGAATATATCCAGCTTCCATTATTTTGTCTTGACAGTAAGGATTATTTTGAGTTATTTCAGCTATGAGATTGGCCGCTTTAGCTCTGATTCCACTGTGGGGAGAATTAAAACATCCAGCAAATATAGAGAAACCACCAATTTTGTAGAAATCATTAGCGGTATCTGTGTTATCACAATATTCTGTGATTCTGTCTAAGGCTGCCTCATATTGTGAAGGATCATCTTCGTCAGAGAGATTATATACATTTTGCAAAAGTTTTACATAATTTTGTATTTCCTGTATCACATTCACAGTCATCGATGTGAGAGTTTCCTCAAGGAACTTCTTTCTCTAAAAATTAAATTATAACAATGATATATAATAACTTTATATAAAAAAAGTTATAACAATGGTAAGCAATAGATTTATTTACCTCCTCATCCATGGGTTGGAAGTGTGACTGATGAGGTGCGTCCTCTGACTTGGTTGCCTCCATGGCAAACCTCAGCAGACCCTGCAGGTCTCTGGGCTGTCTCGGTTGATTGGGCATGACTTCTGGCTGCTGAGAAGACTGAGAAGGTGCTTCTATTGACAGTGGTCTAGCCACACTGCTGTTGGGAGCTTCTTGGCTTTTCTTCTGATCTCTGAATGAACGCAGAGAGAGGCGCAGGCAAGAAAAAAAATAAACACACACACACAGTTAGTTAGGTTATAGCGATTGCCTCATCTATTTGGGATCCAAAAATAATCACACAAAATTGTCGCAAAAAACAGTAAAGTCAACTTACTTGTCCATGTCGGATGATGAGGATCTCGTCTCGCTCGAAAACGTACTGCCCATCATGGAAAAATAGAGACAGAAGATAAATATCAGATATCAGTCAACAAAATAATCGTGCACGAGTAAACACACAGAGAGATATAATACAGAGACGGGCGAGAGAGAGAATAAGGAGGAAAAAAAAAAACTATTCGTATTCGTCACTCAGCAGCGCGTCTCGCGGTCGAGCAGAAGAAATTTTCAATCACACGCACTCACTACACATACAGAGAGGAGACAAGAAGAGTTAGGCCCACCTGTTTTAAAAATATGTGTATACGAGTGCACCCAAGTGCGTATGACTCTTATACACACTCACACGACGCACGCTCGACTTCTTCGACCAAATTTGGAACAAGCTGTAGAGTAGTATTGGCGCTTCTTATGAAGTTCCGTAGTAGTAGTAGTAGTCGACTTTTCTCAGCTGCAGAGTGCAGATTATTTACGATAATCGCGCAATATATAGCGGACGCCAAATTGAGCTCTGTCTCTCTCTATGCTTTTGACTCTAGGTTAAGGTATTGCGTCAGTGTATTTGTGCACTACATCAGCGCGGAGCGAATGCGATGAGCTATGGTACTGCTGCTACCTATACTACGTTTATATAGCACTTTCTGGCGAGAGCTAGAGAGCTCGGAAAAATCGGGACACTTCGAGAAGGTTTCGCGGGCGCTCGCGCGTCATATGTATGGGGATTTCGGCGACCTTGCGGATGAAGATTCGCACGCGTGCGTACTTTTTTAGCGCGACGATGACGACGACGTCGACTAGGGATTTTTTGATTTCTGCGACTCCGAAATTTTATATGTAAAGAATCGATGTCGCGCGAGAGGATGTAAACACACGACGACGGTGATTTGACTTTTGGCCTCGATGACAATGAAGATTACAAAGGGTCGAATTCCTTACCGACTTTATAATCGAGAATTCGAAAGTCATTTGAATGTACCCGATAATCTCGCATTTTTGAACCGAATAAACATTGAGTTGGATTTAATTCGACCTGTACACCTGAAAGGTGTAGCTTTAATAACAGTAGCACATTTTTCAAAATTAAATACTTGAAAACACAGCTCGTAGCGATATGATGAAAATTATTCACTTCTGGAAAAATTAAATGTTGAAACGAATGATGACTTTGAAAATGCACACTCACGCGAAGAAAAATTGCAACTTTACAATGCACGTTGCAATATCGAGGAATTAGCCGCTCAGATCGAAAAACTGCAAGTTCAACGATTTTGAAAATGTATAAAAAGCAGCTGAACACTTGACCGCTGCAGTTAGTTGTTGGTGTATATTCGAGCCGATTGAAAGCTCAGGAATCGTGTACGAGTCGAGCAGTTAAACATTTTTTATTCATTATTATAAAGTTTAAGTTTTGTCGTAGTGAATCATCAAAGACCTCGTATAGATCATACATTTATTGTAACATATAATAATATATTTAAGTTATCTTATCTGTAATAGATAGATGTGTTTTTTAATTTATTAATGAGCAACTGATGGAATATCGTTGTTAATTTTTATTTCTGTTAAAATCAGTAAAAAACGTGAATTTTTTTAGTATTCTCAGTCGTTCCATAAAATTATGCTTTCATGACAGGCGAGAATCATTTTCAGAAATTAAAGAAGTTCTTTGATATCGACGACGTATCGATATAAATGCATGGATCGCAGTTCGCAGCAAAGCCATCGACGCTATCACGACTAACACGCGACTAACACACATGCACACATACATCTATAGGACAACATTTTTGTATACATAAAGCCAATCGTTCTGCAGAAGTCAAAGTCGAGGATTCGCAGTATACACCGCAGTCTCTAGCGGCTGCGGCGTCGAGTCGAAACCGGTTCATTTTTATTGCGTTCGGGGCAGTCGTAGCGGTAACAACAACGCAAACCTCGCTCCTGCATTTCTCCTGCGAACGACGAAGTGATTTTTGTTTTACATTATTAGAGTGAGTTGATACTCGAAAGAGTTTTGTTTCGGTCAAGACGCTACTCTGATGTAAGCATTTATTTTCAATTCTGATCTGATTAGTTCATTTTCGATCGTCGAGATAGTGTTGAACTTGTTTAAGATAAGGAGAACTTATTAACGCAATGCGATAATACTTATTTTTTTCGTTCACATTATTTTTGCATTCGTTTGTCATAAAATCGATAAGATTTAGTGCTATTAGTTGAAGTTCAAGCGCGAGTTGGCGCGCAATTCTTTTGCTCCCTTCGTCTCGTTCGAGTAACTCGACGCTCTTCGCGCTCGCGTTTCAGAGTCAATAACACAACGATCGGCACTTGTTTACATTTACAACAATACCTACCTACGTTTTTGCCAGCAGGTAGTGTTTGAATACTAATACAATAACCGTCGACTTTCTCTCGGCACAGCTCGACGACCATCAAGAATGTCGGAAGAAACGCAGCAACACGACCTGGTGAAACGCATCCAGCTCAAGGAGGACCCGTACTCCAAGGAGGCCATCATGAAGCTGCTGCGCGAGTCCGAGCCCAGCGCGACCCTGTGCTGCGAGTTCGGCGCGGTCGGCTGTCACAAGGGCATCCTGGCGGCGCGAAGCGCCCACCTCATGGAGCTCCTCGGACGCAATCCCTGCGCGCATCCGTTCTTCTACGTGCCCGGGGCCAAGCACGACGAGCTCCAGGCCGTCGCGCACTTCATGTATCACGGCGAGGTCGATATCGAGCTGTCGAAGCTGAAGCACTTTTACAAGGCCGTCGAACCTCTGCAGATTCGTGGCTTGCAATGGAAGAATACGAAAGAAAAATCTGAGGACAAGGTAAATTTCTTTCGATCTTACCTGCTGTTCGTACTGTTATGAGACTAAATTGAATTTTAGGTCAATGCAGATGATTATGATGATATCTATAGGATAACTTGTGTCTCAAAAAATTCCGAAAATGCAGATCTCAAGAAAGCACTCGTTGTCCTGTACGACAACGAAGAGATGATCGATATGACTTTGGCCTGTGACGATGGCTCCTTCAAATGCCATAAAGCTGTTGTGACTGCATGTAGCGATTACGTGAAAAATGTTTTGTCTGATTCGTGCAAAGATCCAGTTATCTTCCTTCTCGGTACAAAAAAACGAGAATTGGAAGCTGTAATTGATTTGATGTACAATGGTAGAATCAAAGTAAGAAAATCTGATGTTCAAAGGGTCGTAGAGATTGCTGATCAATTATTCGTAAGTTATCAGAATTTATTTCAACTTTAAATATGAATGATAAGCTAACATTTTTTGATTTTATAGATTCGTGATTTATCAGTACAATCTATGTTGACCAACGAAAAGGATAATGAAATTTTTCAAGAACTTACCTCAGAGAATGAGCATAATGATTCAAGATCAAATTCATTTGATCAATATCCTGAAAAGAACCCAGATGTTTCTAGCTTTTGCTCAAATGTAGCAAAAGCATTTGATACTCCTCCCATGATTATTTTTGATTGGGGAAAACTTTTACAGGAAAAAAGTGAAGGTATGTTTAATTATGATTGTTTGAGATTTATGGATTTCTTTTATCAATCAACAAATTTTAATAATTCTAAATTAAGAATTTTGTATCAATTCTTATGGTTATAACATTAATGAAAAATCTTTGTAAATAAACACTATTGGTAACAGGTTCCCCTCGACGATCATATGGAAGTAGTGAACGCCAAAATGTACTGGATGCTGTGAATCGTGGAATGTCAGGTGCACAGGCTTCGAGACTATTTGGAATACCAAAAAGTACAGTTTACTCGTGGTTAAACAAATATGAAGGACTAAATACAAGTAAAAACTCTGCAGTTCTGAATGAATCTTCATCAGGTAATGAATGGATATTCGAATGTTGAGAATATTTAAATTTACATACGAACATTCTTTCATTACATTAAAGGAACTACACGAAGATCTTACTCAGACGGAGATCGTCAAAAAGTTGTTAGAGCTGTCCAGAGTGGAATGTCCGTCGCAGAGGCTGCCATAAAATTTGATATACCTAAGAGTACACTATATTCTTGGATGAAGAAATCAGACACCTTAGATACCAGTAAAAGCTCTGCAGTCATAAGCTCATCTCCATCTCCTTCAAGTAAAAACTAGATTTTCAAATATAATAAAGAATATCTAATTTCACATATAAACTTTCTTAATTATGTCATAGGTACTACTAGAAGATCTTATTCAGATGCAGATCGCCAAAAGGTATTAGACGCTGTTAGTAGAGGAATGTCTGGTGCAGAAGCTTCCAGGAAATATGATATACCTCAGAGTACAGTTTATTCTTGGGTGAGGAAATCAGATGACTACTTGAGCACCAGTAAAAGCTCTGCACTTGTCGAATCGCCTCCATCAAGTAAAAAACAGCTATTTTTTTATGAGAAATGTTTAAATTTAAATGCTACCTTTTTTTTATAGGCAGTTCTAGACGATCGTACTCAACTGCTGAAAAACAAAGTGTAGTGAATGCAGTCAACAATGGCATGACTGGTGCGGAAGCTTCAAGAAAATATGATATACCATCAAGTACAGTTTACTCTTGGATTAAGAAGTCAGAAAGCCCGGATGCAAGTAGAAGAACTTCTATAAGTTCATCTGTGGATACCTCATATTCTTCTGGTAATGTGACAATTTTTATTTACTTTTTGGGTCTTAGAGTTTTAATGTTAATATTTATCAATTTTTCATCTTTAAATAGCATCTGGAAGACGTTCGTACACACCAAGTGAGCGTCAAACTGTCGTCAATGCCATTGCTAATGGTATGAGTGGAGCTGAAGCTGCTAGGACTTATGGAATTCCTCCAAGTACTGTTTATTCATGGAAAAATTCTGTGCCAGCAGCCCCTACAACGAATTACAGCCGCCAATCAAATACCTCTTATGGTTCGTCGAATATTTCGTACGGAGCTTCAAATGCTTCATATGGATCTTCAGGTAATGAAAGCATTGATATTATAGAAAATACAGTGTTATAAAAAATACCGATTTAGTATCAGAGTTTTTATAAATGCATATAAACTGCATTTGCAATGCAAATGAACATGATAACTTCAATTTCGTACTGTCTTGGCTGTATGAAAAGTTTTAAAGACATTGACTCCAGTTTGATTTTTTCGAACTTTACGGTCGGACACAACTTTTCTTATTGTAGTAGGATCTTGCGTGAATTTAGACGCGCATAGTAAAGTATCAAAAAATATGTTTCTTATAAATTCAAACTTCTATCCCACATGCATTTTGTCATGGGTTGTATGTGTTTGTGAGTGAATATTATTACAATATCAAAATTAGGTAAAATAAGAACAGGAAATTTTTATTTTACACAGTTGATTTATTTTTTTGTATAAGTACTATTTACAATCAAATATTTACAATTTTATTTACAAATCTTCCTTCTTTATATATTTATAAATACATGAATATATATATCTTTTTTTTTTTTTTTTTTTTTTATATATGAAAATATATTTCTAAGTCTTACAAATGCTGGCTCGGAGTTTTATCCAATTTTGTGATTAGCTTCTGAGCTGAAGTGTTTCCTTTAATTCTCGTCCACGTCCATGGCTTGCTCCTCAGTCGAAGGATTTTTTTCATCGGAATCGGAATCGGTGTCGTCCTCGTCCATACCGAAATCCTCCATCCAGTCCAATTGATCTTGGCTCATAGGCTCGTGCTCGCTCGTGGCTTGAGCTGTAGCAGCATAACGCTGGGCGTGCACTTCCTCGACGTACTTACGAACGGCTTCGTTCCGTATCTCGTAAACCTGTTGCCTGTACTCGACTGGCTCTCTGATGGCTTTTAAAGGGTCCCGGGCGCGACCCACTGTCACTCGTTCGACATCACCCTTGTATTGTCTGATGGCGCTCGTAATGACCATCAAATGCTCTTCCCAATGTTGAAACATTTTAATCTTCTCACTGTGTTCGAAACTCGGTAGGATATCCGAATTCTCGCAATCTCTTTCCACTGAGGCTCTCGCTTCTATCACTTTTGCGAGCGAATCTTTTTGAATTGCCTCCCACGTGTTCACTAGCAGAAGCTTCTTACACATGTTCTGAGCACCATGAAACTTCACTGTAAGTCTATCGTGAAACCAATCGACAAAAACCTTTTCTGGTCCTTTGTAATTTATATTATCCATGAATTTTTCTTGCTCGAGCTTTTGCTCGGGTGATAATGTTTGGAAGGCCATTTTGATTTGTGGTTTTCTTATCTCACTAATTAACGTAATAAATCACTCGACTAATCACTAGTCATTACTACTGACTTCTTCTTGAAACAAAACTAAACACAGTAGTGAAAGTAATTTAAATCTCACTACTGCAATTAAACACGTGTTCACGTCATTATGCTCGGATCACGACGGTCGAAAATGGAAAAGAATAGAAAAAAGCCTGTAACCTTTTTTGGACGAGAAAATTCGAAATCGGTCGTAGCGCTTGTTTTGAATCTTCATTGAGACGAAGGCGCAGTCGAGTTTCTTACTAATCGAGCCCTGAAAATGCATTCTTGCATAACTTTTCACCTAGACTAATTTTCAAAAAACGCTTCTAGGAGTCCTCCTTATTATTACTAATAATAAATTTACCAAATTTAATTGCATTTCTTTCATTAATTTTTCCGAAATGTTACACCTAAAATAGGATTAAAAATTTCGATCCCGTTTTTCGGAAAAAACTAATGAATGGAATTCACTAAAATTTGGTACCGTTATTCTTATTAATAATACGTAGGGCACCACCGCTTTTCTCCGTCTTTTGAAAATTGGTCTGGTAAGTGAAAAGTTATGCAAGTATGCATTTTCAGGTCTCGATTACTAAAAATCCTTGCTTCGGCAACACCTAATCCTTATTTTGAAAATTATCAAATATTTAAGTAAACCTATCGCTCTGAAAACCAAATCTCTCATTTCTTTAACATTCCCTCATTTCTTTATTCTAACTACTATAGAGAATTTGTTGATTAATTAATTGGGATTATTACTAATTTATTTTTGTAACACTGATATTTAATGTAATTAAATTTGCACATTACTTTTATTGAGAAGTATATGATTCTGCAGCGTCTCTATGGATTCAATGTTAATTTACATAAGAGGAATATCCTCCTAGTTTTTATTGGACGCTCACATTGAATACTGAGAGACGCCGCGGAATCGTATACTTCCCAATGCATTTTATCCCCCAGGAGGTGGCAGAAGATCGTATTCATCGGGTGAACGATCGGCAGTTTTGAGCGCTATGTCTAGCGGCATGTCAGGAGCTCAGGCCGCCAGGACATTTGGGATTCCTGCGAGCACCGTCTACTCATGGAATCGAAAACGATAAACTACAACTTCAATCATTTACTTTTTAAATGCTTTGTTGTAATCTTTATAAAGATTTTTTTTAACGCCTTGATGTATGCTTATCAAGCATACAAGAATTTTTAAACTTTGTTTCAATGTGTATTTTAATTTTTACACAATAATATTGATAAAGTGATTACTTTTAATGTTTTTTACATGATGTTTCTACATAAGTTTTTTTGATGATGTAAACTTTTATTCAAATAAAGTTCATAATTACAATTATTATCAGATTGCTTATAATTTGAATTATTAAAGTTATTACTTAAAAGTGGGCTTTTGATTCATCAATGACAAGGGTGTATACTTATTGAGATTTCATCCGTAATCTATATTGAAAACTTTGTATGATATCTTTCATATCATATTTTCCATAGTAAGGAATTATTTTTGCTTTTGATATGAAGAGGCCATAAATTACTTATAGTTCACTTTAATAGAAGATAAATTACTTTTTTCTGATAATAATATTTTTTTACATGAATTCTTGCTACTAATAAGTTAACATAATGGAGTCATTAGTTATTCAATAATTGCATAAAATAATAATTTTAATTAACTTATTTTATTGTGTCCATATATGATTTTTCTTACAAGCTATTTACAAATATTCTTATTGATATGGTCTGAAACATTTTGAGCTTACACATTGAAAAATGAACAGAAATTAATCATTTGAGATCAAAGTGAAAAAAAATAAAAATGATTACAATGAAAGCTTGTATGTATTCGTATGTAGTTCAATAAAGGACCATACAAATCATTGAATTGAAATATTAAATATTATTGGTTTTCCTCAAATGATATTAATTTTCTATAATTATAGATTTCAAGTGTAATTCTTTTCTACAGTAACTAAGCTAAGAATAATTCATTTTGTAATCTCCAATATCTTTTGAAAAAATTTCATAATCAACTTGTCATTTTTACAAATAAAAATCTTTAAAAGAAATTGGAACACAAATTCAACGTGTATTCAAAATGTGTTCAACGATCGCCAGCTGCATAATCAATTATTCGGTCCATCTATGGGTACACTGTTGATTGGTGCACACGTAATACAGCCTCATCTCTTCTTCAGCTCGTCTGGTTTGTGCTTGGAAAAATACAGCCTCTCTGTTTTGGCATTTTGGACATGGATGCTCCTCCGTTCTAGGCAAGGTTGGATCCGATGTCACATCTGCTACGATATGAGTCAACTCGCTGGAAACAAAAGGAACAATTGTTAGACACCGATAAATACTGATTACTAAAGTCTTTAGAGAAAAGTTGAATACTCACTCAATTTCGTGCATAATTTTGTTTACGTATATGCAGCTGCTCTCAGCCAGGGTTCTGAACTCGCAATTTCTGCACTGTAACATTGAAAAATCATTGATTAAATTAGAGCTTATAACTCTACTGCATAGAGAACATTCTAGCATTAGAATACAGAAATTTCACTGCAGCATGCAGACAGTATATCAATATAACCTCAAAAGTAACTCTGTAGTTTAAAGCTTTTAACGAGTACAAATAAGACAACGATCGACAAGACTTACCCCGTACATAAGGACTTTTTGATTTTTGTCCTCTTTCGGATATAGCATGTTGTTGCATTCTTGACAGAATTTAATACCAACGAAACTCGGCCCGTCCGAGCCAATAGTGTCGTCGTTTCCTCTTTGAGACATTTTGAATCGCTTCGATTTAAACTGGGGATTATAAACAAAGTGAACGAGAGCTTTAACTCACTCGTGCGCGTAATGACAAGATTGTTTTTTTACGTCAAAGCGATTTAATTCTCGATGCAGAAGAAACTGTCTGTGAAACTACTGTGGGCACATATAAACAAGTCGCAGAAGGCCTCGGTTAACCGGTGTCATCGAGTTCCGATCGATCTAGTACGAAATTCATCCGCTCGCGAGCTTTTACATGGCATTTCGTGGCGCTGCCAGCTGCGCTACGAGTCCTGCGCCTAAGCCCATTACAGCACTTTGATCTCGTCCTGATGGCAGTTTACAAAGTTCACGAAAAGAAAAAAAACGTGCTCTCGTGTACGCGCGAAACTTCAAAATCGTTTTTTTCTCCACGATGTAAGCGTTTTATATTGTCGTTACATGATGCATCGTTCTGTAGTTATCCGTTACGCGCGACGCTCGTGAATTCGAATCCGCGAAGAATCATCCCGATTATTTTGAATTTTTAACGTTAATATAGAATAAGTTTATGTAATCCGTCAGTCATCAAGCTCACGCATCCGTAGCAGCATCGAACACTGTGCCCCAAGTAAGATGTTTTTTCCCAATAAAGCATTTGCAAAACTTCCTCTTCCTCCTCGCAGCTAAATAAAAATCATCGTCATTATTATTGTTATTATCAATTCTTGAGCGTTCTCATCGTCGTCGTCGGACCATAGCAACGCCCCGTTTTGCCGCATATATACATAATAAACTTTCAACCCCGCTCGCACAAGACGTGTCTCTCTCTCTCTCTCTCCGCATCGGCAGCACTACTATAATATTGCTGCGCTCTGCTCACGAGAAGCGCTGAACTGCTGCAAAAGTCGTCGGCGGCGGCGTCGCGCGATTGGCAGCAGCTCTCGACGTTCGCAGCGTATAATACAGAAGGGGTCGTCGGTGTCGTGCAGGCGCTAGCCTAGCTAGGCTACACACGACGACGGGCGTTATAAACTTTATATCGCTTTTGCATAAAGTATTGATTATACATTTGATTCTCCGCTTGTGTGTGTGCACACACGCACACAAGTATACACAAACGTATGCGTTATATATATGCGCAATCATACGCCTCGCACAGTCTGAAGAGCAGCTCTCTGCTGCTGCTGCTCTGCGTCTCTTCTCTCTCTCGCACACATACATGTGCGGGTAATACCACTGTAGAACATGGCTAGTGTAGAGCAGCAGTAGCAGCAGCAACGGAGCACGCGAAAGTTGCGGCTGCACAGGTCTCTCTCTCTCTCTCTCTCTCTACTAGGAGAGTGCCTAGATATTGATTTTGTACCAAGCCCCTTGCGCGTATATACGACTACACACATCTGACATGCGGGTGTGGGATGTGTGTGTATGTGTGCGCGCTTTTAATCGTCGTCGTCGTCGTCGTCGCCGTCTTGACTGCGCTGTGTTGCCGTACGGCCTTTAATAATGTAAAATCTTCTTCCGCGCGTCGAACGCGCGCGAAGCCTCTCTAGCCACCCTTGCGCGAGTTTCCTTATCAGACAGCTCCGAATAAAATAAAAAAAACGTATGCTCTTATGCGAAATAGGAAGTAAGGATAGGAAGTAAGCCGGGCTCTTCCTTCACCCCCTTCGGCTCGTGGGGGGATTTGTTTACATCGCGTCCGTCCGTCTGTCTCGCTCGCTCGCTCCGACGAAACTTGGCGCGCCGCTTTATCTCCTATCTTATACGCTACATTTCGGAGGGCAAAGGGCAAAGGGATACAGCAGCGGAGGTACATGTGCAGCAGCTGCTGTATATAGGTACTACTATGCAGTGCGCGCGGCTTTTATTGCGCGCGCGTTACATCTCCCACGTTGTCGGCTCGGCGTCGGCGGCGCTTTTGCCGTGCGCACACGCCGGAGCTTTTACAACCTTGGCTTACAACCAGCTGTGTAACGTCGGGTAGTCTATAGATATAGGTAGGTAGGTAGCACGAGGTAACGTAGTAACACGTATAGGGGAAAGGGAGGAGGTGGTGGTGTGCATCTCTCTCCGTGTGAGAGAGTAGATTTTTGGGGGTGTGTATGCGTGCGGCAGCGATGACATATAGCACGCCGGAAGACACGAAGCTTGCCGAGCTTGCGAGCAGTGAGAGCCGAGAGGGAGAGAAAGAGTTAAAGTGCACTTTCGCGACTGCGAGCTACGGCGCAGACGCGCCGATGCAAATAGTAGTAGTAGTAGTAGTGCCTAAGAGAGAAGAAAGTGCAACGCGAAGGAGTGAGCGAGAGAGTGAGTCCGCGACGCCCACTCGCACCTATATGCACACACATCTACACGTTCATAATGTAATATTCTCTCGCTCTTCCATCTCCGTTTCTCTCGTTCTGCAGCAAGGCGCGCGCACAGACATTCATGTGTATATATACGTATATATACACACGGTGGCGCGCGAATGTGTTGCTGCCTGCTCGGTACGCGCGAAACGTACCATGCATATAGATATAACATCGTAGAATCGTAGAGAGAGAGAGAGAGAAGAGAGGAAGCAAGAGGTAGTGCCTCTCTAGCATACACACACACTGCACCGTGCTGTCCGTGCGGTATAAACTCTCGCTCGGCAGAGACGACGCGCAGATATTACTCCTCCTACGCGCGCGAGCGAGCGCGCGCTGATACCTACTCAACCTACAACACCCGCTGCTACTACTACTTGCAGGCTCTCGATGTCTGACTAGTCCTTCGTGTCGTGTTACATCCTTTAATACGCGCCTAACCCCTTACATATACAAGTCCTGCGTTGACTGAGATTTTTCGAAAAAGTCCGGCCTAACAGTGTGTGTACGTTGAAGAGGAGAAGGTGGTGGTAGTAGAGCACAGTGCAGTACACGACGACGACTCGCACTTTTGGCGCAGCGCATATACACACAGCGTGCTTACAACGTGCTGCTGCGCTTGCGACGTAAATATACATAGGTATATAGATATAACATTGGCGCGCGCCAGAGAGGGAGAGAGACAGAGTGAGAGAGAGAGAGCTTTACAACACGCGGACGTTACAGCACGTTTTTTTTCCCTCGCGCTGCTCCGACTGATATTTACGTTGCGAACGTTCGTAGTTAAAGTGCAGCTCGTGCAGATTTTCTTCTGCTGTTATTGTTGTTGTTGTGGTGGTGCGCGGGTGGATCTTCAAATCGTTGTTTCTTGCCGTTGAATAAATAATAATAATAATAATAATAATAATAATAAGGGTGAATAATTTATCGTGCGAGGTGGTGATTGTGAATTTCGACTCGTCGGGGGAGGACTACAATTTTCAAGGAATAATTAAGAAGAAAATAAGGAAATGGGTGGGAGACAAGCTCGGTGTAATCGTCGTGACAATTGTTGCAAGTCGCGCCCAGCTGCCTAGACGTTGAGATAGAGAGAAAGAAGTTTTGGCAACGTTTGAAAATAAACGCCGGTAGGATCTCTGGCTCCTGCAAAATTAAATCCACACACAGTGAGAGCTTCGAGGAGGATTTACAACTCAGTCGGTCTAAGGTTCGTGTTCATTTATTACAACGTCGTAGACGAGAGTAGCGAGTGTTGTTTGTTTTTCAGCCCTCCAGTGTGTGTGTGTGTGTATACATATGTCTGTATACCGAACGCACACACACTCTCAACAATCTCAACCCTAATATTGTACACCCACACGCAACACACACATGTACGCGCGCGACCGACGGGTATGGATTTTTTATTATAAAATGAATATATAGACACACTCCGTTCGTCGTCGTCGTCGTCGGCTGCGGCGGCGTCGACGGCGGCTCGACCAGCAGCAGCAGCAGCAGCAAATATCATTATATACCCCTCTGCTGCTTGCTGCTTGCTGCTGCTGCTGCAAAGTCGTCGATGAGTCGCGCGCTCGACTTTCGCGAGCAAGCCTCGTTCTTTATTTAACGATGTCATTTTAATTATACATTATTATATATATCGGCGGGGGTCGCCCGAAAGTTGAATTTAATTAGAGGCAGAGATTTTTTTTTCTACTTTGCTTTACTTTACTTTCGAGCTTTTTGCATATAAATAAAAAATTTCGTACATAGAACTCTCCAAAGTTTGCCATTTATGCATGCAGCGATTGCATATTATATTATACATCTTAGCAATAATGCATATATTTATTCGTAAAATATTACGTATACAATATACAGTCGCTGTGTACGTATACGTCGTCTGCGAGTTTACGTATGGATGTATGTTTTTGTGTACACACACGTATGCACACACATGTGCAGTCTGCTCATACAGCTGCATCTGTCGCGCGTTCTCTCTCTCCACGCACACGCATATATTATTATAGTTTTAAGTCGTATATATTTTTAGATTGGGAATGATTAAAGCGTGACTCACTACTCTCCCCGTATGTGCGTAAAATCTCATGCGTGTATAGTAATATCACACGATATAAAGTGCGTTTAGCGCGATATAAACATCGTGCCACGTTAATGCGACATTTTCGTATACGAATTTTTGTTTTTCTCGTTATAGTAAATATATATTAGAGTATTAAGGAGAAAAATAGGGATTATTTATTTTGGAGGGGGTTGAAACTTTCAGTGCCTGTATATAAACGCACACGCAGACACGTACACACGTACACACAGACAGAGAGAATTTCGCAATAGCAATGTTACTCGCGGTTTTATCGATTTATCGCCAACTAGCAAAGTGTAGTAGTATAGTTACTGTATATATGTATGTATGTTGTTCCGAGGAGAGAACCCGCCTTCTCAACTTTTGCGTTAACTTTCTTACGTGCTATATATACGGTATACACTTCTCTCTCTATATATATAATACCGCTATATATATACAGATCGCCTAATTACTTTTGCGCTCGCACAACACACAATAAAACGTAATAACCGGGGCTGCCTCCGAGACTCGAGCCAAACTTTTCGAATTATCAATATATAATAATATACTACACATTTATTTTTTTTCTCTGTTTTAATGTATATTTTCGTTGTTTTTGTTTTTTGGTGCATGAATAAGCAGCGATAATGACTATATTACCGTCGCGAGCTTTATATACTGGTTTTGTACAAATATAAAAAAATTTGTCGATAACGCCGGTACACAACATTATAGATTTCTTTTTTTTTCTTTCGTGACTTTTATTTTTGTTATCTATCGCGTCGCACTCGTGCTTATATGCTTTATTTTGTACAGAAAGTGCCATTATTTGAATATGAAGGAGATTATAATATTGTACATTATATATTTCTCTCTCCGTCGATGTTTATCAAAAATTAGATAAGAGAATTGAAGAAAATAGTTGGTGCTCCAAAAAGGTCGATGGTAAATCATGAATTTTTTAATTCTCTTTCTCCTAGTTATTATTTTACGCGGTACACGTATATTAATGCATGATTTCGACAACGACGAACGGCTTCGCAAAATTATACCGTGAGAAAGACGCGGATGTTCGAAAATCGTTTATTGAACTCTCGCGTCTCCTCGCGTCATCGCGCCGCTCTTTCTCTTCGCGGCGCGCGAGGACTAATAATATGTAATCGCGACTTCGGCGTGGTTCCCCCCGATCGATTTACGTGTTAGGGTAGATTTTTGCTTTAAAATAAATTTTATTTATATTTTTTTTGGTTTTCCATACTCATCGGCAACGGAGTCGAATTATTATATCGCCACGCGTGCATGTGACACACAACGCCGGCTTCTATCTCCCCCTCTCTCATATACGTACAATACCGATGTGTAGTCGGGTTCGAAAAATGTCAAAAGCCACCCTTGCGCGCGCGCGATTACCAATTGCGCCACATCACGGTCCCTTACTCTTCATCCCCATTCCTTCTCTCCCACCGAGCAACAAAAACTATAATCCCCACCATCCGTCCTTTCCTTTTTTTTTTCATTTTGCTAATTTTAAAAAATGTTCGGACGTAATGCGCGAGGCATCGTCGTCGCGACCATGCGCCTCGAAACCGAGCATCGCGAAAAAGACCTGCGACGCGATCACTCGGCGCTGCGCCAGTAGATGTCAGCATGGTGTACGTAAATTCGCCTCTTCGCGATGAAACGCTCTGTCTCTAGTTTACACACTAATGCCGCGTTATTTTACAACGATGCACCGAAATGAATCGTAATTTCATACAACGAAGAAACGAACAAAAATAATAATAACGACGAATGGACGGGGGACGAATAGAAGGGATTAAAAACGATTCCCGTCGTTTTACCTCGCATCGGTCTCTTTCTCGCGCGCGCGCGAAATAGTTACGATATATATATAGGGAGAGACAGCTCCCACGCGCCGGCATATCCTCGCGCGCTATGTACGTTCTTGCATCTCTCTCGATCCCTTATAATGCCGCATCTCTCATCGTGCCATATACATAAAGTCCACTTCGTCTTCGTCTCTCTCTCTCTATATAATACGTCTCGTCTCGTCTCTCCCTCGTCGCGGATCCGCGGCACATACATAACACAGCGCGTATATTATTTTGCGCTTGCGCCGATCCGTCGCACACAGACAGACACGGGAACTCGGCGAAAACTATATTATCGCGGCACCGCCGAAGTCTACAGTCGGAGGCGCACACAACAGAGAACACCCCTCTATGTATGTACGTAGTTCTCCTTCTTCGGCTGGATGTGTGTGTGTGCGCGCTCTTCTCTCCCTTTCATCCTTCCATACATGCATAGACACGGACACGGAGACAGCGCGAAATACTCCCGACACTGTACTTTTCTCTCTCTCTCTCTCTCTCGCGCGCATCCATCTCTCTATACACACACACACACACACACACACACACACACACACACACACACACACACACACAAACATGAGTGGAGGCGCAAACTTAGCAACACACACACATATAGACACATACACATACGGAGTCGAGCCGAGAGCGCGCGACTAAGCCCTACAGTACGAAATGTCTACACTACAGTGTGTTACAGTACTCGTCGTCGCGCTGATCGTCTCCGCACCGAAAGTGCCCCCTCAGACATATACATTACAAATGAATATACCTTGTAAAAAATAAATAACAGTGTAAAAAGAGTCGCGACAAAACAAAAAAATAAAAAAAAAATACGCGACAACAACAAGCGGCAAACAAAAACGAAATAAATATTTTTTCAACGTGTTAATAATAATACGCGAGACACGAGCTTTATATTTATAACTTGGCATAACTAGCATGGTGAGAACATTTTTTGAACAAATCTTCGATTAGAATCTTCCATTAAAATAACGCCAGCTACTCTCGCGTAGCGGTGGTATAAGTAGAGACTGTCAGCCTTTCGGTGTCTTCGTTTATTATTACGTGTAAAGAAAAGTATATGCATCGCTCTAAGTGCGACAATAATGAATAAAATCTAACGATAATAAAAGTGTGCGACGTTTGTTATACCAGTGAATAAAGGATTGCAGCAAAAAAAGTGTCTTCTATACTTGGTTCATTTTTACAAAACGACAGATACATACAAATATATTTTTGAGTGCAGAAAAAAAAACAGTGCAAGTACACATATATTTTTGAGAGAAATCTTTGAGAGATTATACACGAAACTGCTTCGTACGTACACGGCGTGTCAGAAAAGCACAAAAAAATTGCTCGCGTCTCGGCAACAAAAACAAGAAGACGATTCTTCGCCGCCTCTCCCCCTGATCTCCGTTTTCGGAAATAACAGTTCCGAATAATAATCTCGTGCAACATCGGCGTTGTCAATAATCATTCAAGCTGGACGCCGTAAGTTATTTTGCTTTTACACCTTTCCCATACAAACGTATATCGAATGTAAGACACACGCTAAAATCCTTGTTTATCAAAGCTAAATTATATAAATTTTCCGAGAAATTTGTTGTAATACCGTCTTTCTCTCTCTCGAACTCCGCTCTTTATTTGCCGCTCGCGCCGTGGCGATCGAACGCGCTCTAATTTAACAGTGAAATTTTGTTATTCCAAGAAATTATGTATACGTATTAATGTGTAAACTATATACGCTCGCCGCTTGCGCGCGCGGCTGTATAATATAAACTTCGGGTTCCCCCCTTTATACAAAGCCGTTAAAATTCAGCATTAACAATTGGGCACACACACACACACACACACGAGCCAGCAGCAACAGCGGCGGTTGGTTATAGAGTTTGTTTGTGCGTGTGCGTCTGTGATATGCGCGTGTATTATAAATACGTGAATCATGGTTGTTGCGCGCAACGCAATAATAAGACACCGCAAAGAAGCACACGATGTATATATAAGAAGAAAAAAAATTTTTTTTTTTACTTTTTCCATGGCGCGTCTCGTCTATATATTACATTAAAATACTGGAACTTTCTCTCTCTTCTTACTGCCGCTGCTGCTCTTATGTGCTTCTCTTTCTCTCTCTCATGGTGTGCGAGCGTGTGTATATATAGGCGCCTATATGTGTATCTGATGAAAGGGGGACCATTGTTGCTTGCAAATTGGGGAGAAGCGAAGTAAAGCAGCAGCAGCGTCGTCATCGTGTGCGCGTCGCAGCCATAGCGTTTATATATTATAACAGAGAGTTAGTTTGTACAATATTCGGAGTCTATATTATACTATGGCATAACCTCGAAGGAGAAATGTTTAAAAGAATGCTCCGATCCTCGTAATTTCCGTTCGTAAAATTGTACAGGCGAAACAACGCATGCACCGTTTATACGTACATTGCGTGCTGTACAGCAGCAGCAGCAGCGCGACAACGTGCTTTTCACCTATCTCTTAATTTCGCTCTCTCGCTCGCTCACCTGCATCAACCACCCCCCTTGTGTATACATACACACACACACGCTGTGTATGGAATCGGTGTGTGTGTATACACGAGCTGCAACGCGCGCTACGGAACACGTGATTTTTTTCGATCCTCTCATCTTTCTCCCTCTACTGTGCAGCAGCTCGCTCGCTAGAGTCGGCACTTTGTGTATATACCGTGTGTCTGTCTGTCTGCGTCTCGAGGCACGCGTACCTATATATATATTTCGCCGGCTCGCGAATAAACGTATACTATTCGCGTTTTGCAGCATATATAAGTTTATTTAAGCCCGCCGCCGAACGAAACTAACAAAATGGTTGTCTCTCCTATATTATACTTCCCCGCGCGCCTCGAGCTTGGGACTTGGGTATTATAGACTCTCTCGAATGTTCGTCGCTTTTATTATTACAACAAGCAAGCAGCAGCATAGCACACTTCGTGCGTGCGTGTATTAATATCATTTGAAAAATTATAATAATGTACCGAATCCGTTATAGTTGCTCCGAACGCGCGCGCATATTATGATGTATGCGGATACATACATACATGTGTGTATATTATGAGTCGCGCGCGAGACCTCTTGAATTTTATAATACGTCGCGTCGATTGTTCTCTCTCTCCTCTCTTTTCTTCTTTCCTCTTCTCGCGAGAGCGTCTATTATAATCTTACTCTCCGGCGCTTGCTATAAGCGCGCGCGCGTCTCTTTGTTTGTAACTTTTATACGAAATATTAGTCGTCTCCTCCAACACATCCTCCTCGATTCCGGCTCGAGCATACGTATATGCGTGTGTGCTGCATATACGTCTAAATACGTTCGTATCTGGCTGTATGTGTGTGTGTGTGTGTGTGTGTGCAAAAGCGAGAGAGGAGAGCAATTTTGACGCACAGAATCGATTTCTTTGTCGAGTCTTAGGTTGGAGAATATGTATGTATATACTACATTCGTATATAGTAGGGGAGAGAATGAGCCGAGCCAGAGAGAGAGATTCGAGGAGAGTATATACGTAGTGGGAATTTAAAGATTCCTGCATGTATGCGGCGGTGGTGGTGGTGGTGGCGGCGGCGGCGGCGGTGTCGGCGGCAAGAGAGAACCTCTCTGCTGCTGCTGCTGTTGCAGCGCGTGTATTATTATACTTGTGCGCGTTGCACATACACAGGGCACACTTACACACTATCAAACGCGCGGCGAGAGAGACCCAACGCACATTTTATGTAAAGAGCATCGTGCAGCGTGCTGCTGCTGGCTCGCAGCGCCGCGCGCAAACGTTTTTTGTTATAAAAAGGGCGCTCTCGCCGCTGCCGACTGTACGCGTGTGTGTCTGCGTTAGCATTAAATATGAGAGAGAGAGAGAGAGAGAGAGACGGCCATGTTTGTTGGCAAAAGGAGAGCTATATATAAAAGAAACTGAAAACGACGAGGGAGGCATAGTTAACTAACTATATGGAAAAAGTCAAAGCTACCACCACCAGGGGCTACATCGGCTATATGAGACAACAAACTTATTATACACAGTGCTCGCACACGAATACACAGCGCAAACTTCTTTTTTTTTTTAACATATAGAGAGAGAGAGAATATTCCGACAATTTCGGCGAATTTTATAATATGTAATGCTCGCGTTGCCGGCGTCGCGCTGATGTGAGAAATTTTGCGTTAATTCTCGGGGCTTTTGAAAAAAAAAACTAGAAAAGAATATTATACGAAGCGGAGTGTGCTCCGAAGTCGTAGAAGAAGAAAAAATATTATACACAATATTGTAACATAAAACTGCGCCAAGGAACAAAAAAAATTTGTAATGGAAGGAATTTTTTCTTAGAAACACTTCTCAAGGTTTTATAAATATCGAAAGTTAATTATTATTTACGCGAGAGGCAAGCGCGACTTTACTACACGTGTATGTATTATGATTATGATTATTATCCGCCTCTGCTGATCCTGGCCCGAAATCCAAAAAGGAAATCTACAATATAATATAATGTTGCAAATACGATATGTAAACCACTTTTCGGACAATTTCTCTTTTTCACGGTCATCATATATTCCCCGGCGTATTATAACGTTGCACGATTATATTGTTGCTCGAAGCAGCAGCAGATACATACATCCAAGTGGTATTTGTATTATTTTTGTTTTCGAATCTCACCGTCCCATATATCATTAGAAAAATAATAATATTGAGCAGTCTCTACCGTGAGCCGCGTAAATAACGCGCAAAAATAAATAATAACAAAAATTCGAGTCTGCGCCGTGAATACCGTAAAGGCGAAAAATGTATTATACATTCTTTGTTATATTCTTTGTTTATCCTGTGCGCCTACACGATCGTACACATGCGCGGCGTATGCATAAAACGGAGTCATTCCTCCGTTTTCTTTCAGGATATCTCGCGCGCGCGCGCGAACCAACGCTGCCACTGTACCGGGCGGCATAACATTATAAACGTGTGGAGCACGCATACAGACGTACGCACGCACTCACTCGCATGTATAAAATTTTATTTTGTTAATTTCTTCTTTATTGGGTTTTGTGCGCGGGTGAGAGACTCTATATATACTGCTAGTTGGTGCACGCGCTGTTCTTTCTCTCGCGCACATACAGCACACACTCATACACGTATATAAAACGATATATAGTTTATACTTCTGCGATGTACACTTTTGCCGCTGCTCGGGCTCTTATTATTACAACTCCCCCTTTTTCAACTTTTATATATATATAAATGTACGTGTGTATTTGTCTCTATCGATGTATGCGTGTTGCTGCCTTCCTGCTGCTGTTGCTCGTATATATACGCTTGGCGCAAAGCCGGGCTCTCATGCTTCTCTCTCTCTGAGCCTTCTTCTTTGAAGGAGCGTACGATGGGGGATATGTATGTGTATGTTTGAATGTATGAAGCCGGAGCACGTGTGTGTGCGAGTGTGCGTGCGTCATGTATAGTACGTACTATATATACACGAAGAAAGACTACGTAAGGATTGATGTGCGATGTACATTATTTTGTTCATACTCACTCGACGATGGGATTTTTCATAATAATAAATATAATCATAATCATACGCTGTTGTACAAGATTTACAGTGATCATGTACTTCGTGCATTGCCGCATGGATTATTATACACGTGTGTTTTATTGCACATAGTTTTTTTTAATCTCGGGCTAGGCCCACATTTTATTTTTCCCATTACAAAGAAAAATTTTCTTTTGAAATTTGACTCCGATATTAGAATAAAAACTAACCAGTCATACACACACAGTTTTTATATTATAAAAATGTTGAAGAGAAAGTTGGATCGGAATGAACTTTTTATATTGTATATCCATCCATCCTTTGTGTGTTCTAATGTACTTCTATAAGCAGATGACTCATTCTCGTTATATATATACGCTTTTATACATCTGTCGTTTACTTTTATATATATAAATTGTACCAATGCTACATATATACGTGTGTATAAATGATCGTATATGTGTGCGTGTATAAAAATTGAGAATGTGGTTTAAGTAATGTACGTTATAGATGTTTATACGGAACGTTAATACACACGAATCGAGTATGTACACGAGACAGGCGCGGAGCTTCAGAAAAATAATATGGGTATTTCGTTACGATTTCGGACAAATATTTTTGTCCCACTTGAATAGTTAGAGCAAGAAGACTTGTGTATTATACGCTATGGAAAAATTTTTGTTCAACGCCCTGCGTCGTTTAAAAAAAAAAGAAGTCGTGCCCGGCTTATACGGAGACGTGTCTTGTTTGTAATATTTCTCTCTTCCAACCATTTCGTTCGAAAATTAATGTTCGTTAAAAAATTTCTAGAAATTGTCCATATCTTTACACAAAATTACTTTCAATTCACGAGATAGAAGAAAAAAAAATGAGATCGTTATCCTATTGCTAGGTGGGTGTGTCTAGGTTAATTACTATGCGCGTGTACAATGGAGAATCTGTAGAAAAATGATATGGTAATGAATATGTAATTGATGCATCGGAGTGAAAGTGAGAATTCTTACGCCTGCGAGACTTATAGTATAATATCCGAAGAAAACCGACCCTGATACATGCTTTATGGATCCAAGCTTTACTCCTTGAAAGCTCCTGATTTACCCCCCGATTCAGGGGATCAACATCCCCGTAGATGAAGAATCGATTATTACAATGGTTATTACGATGATTTTTTTGTAATTTTTTAATGAATACGGTCCTTTTGAAGAATAGTCAGTTATACCTCAAATTACATAGAAAATTTCCAAATTCGAAACGAGAAAGTTATTTTCTCCTTAACAAACTCTTCGATAACTTCGATATTCCTGTAAAGAAAATGTTGTTCGTCAATTTTTTCTTTCATCTTGATTTAATACTACCTCTTATTGCACGCTAAAAAGGCATTAAAAATTGTTTAAACAATTTTGTTTAAACAAATTATCAAAATTAATGTTTTTTTTTTCATGAATACTTCAGCAATTAACTAAATGATGACTCGCAACGATGCCGCGATCAACGACTTTGTTAAACATAAGATGTTTAATAACTCGAAATTTAACAACTTTAGAAAAAATGGTCAAGAGGATTTTGTTGTTTAGAATCGTCCAATTAACAATAATTATGCGTTGTCAAATCAAAAAACATTAATTTCGACCAATTGTTTAAAAAAAATTGTTTAAACAATTTCTGTCCTTGGATGAAGTTCACCTACAACTAAATCAGTGTTTAGTGCGTAATTTTACGAGAGAATATGTTGTCTTACAGGGATGTATATTGTTTTGGGGCAGTGGAATCCTTTATTCTGTTTCAATGTCAGTCACCGAAACACGTTTAATAATTTTCATTTTCATAAGCACATGGAAATAAAATAACCTTATTGAAAATTAAACATTGAATGGTAATTTTAATAATTCCGAAAATAACCAATAATTTATCTACGATGGTAAATTCTATGCATCTGTTACGCTGCAGTTATTTTTGACGCATTCGAAGACGCGATGATAACGATAACGGAGTGTCATCATAATGAAAAAAGGAAGAACGACGATTTACGTTCGATCGTTGTTTCCTCGTGCAGGGCGCATTTCCTTAACCAACAATCTCGAGAAACGCCGATGTTAGCGCTTCGGAAAAAAGTACGTTACTGAAAAGTTGCTGCACATACATATATATTAAAATTGAACAAAATGGAGGAGACTCTCGAATTAGTTACTTTACAGTACGTAGTACGTACTATTCCGACGCGACCGGTCTTTAGTAATCCCGGGCTCGAATCGAGTCGATTTTTAAAAAATCCCGATTACCGACATGCACATGGAAAGAAAAACTGTTCATATTTTTTAAAGGTTAACAAAATTCCCACGTGCATTGAATTATTGTACCGAGGATTTGTTGCGTAGCGCAGTCCGCAGAGAGAAGGAAGTGGCGTTAGATATAGTTGCGCAGTTGTTACAATATTCTACAAGCTGCAAAGACAAAAATCCCCCCTTCTCTTCGGTCCTCCCTCGAGCGCCGTGACATTGAAAATTTTTCGGAGTGCAGCGCGCGTACGATTTGTTGAACAAAGATAGAACGATTTTTCCGACTCCTTCTCCTATTCGCTCGTAAATCGCAGTTGATACGTTATAATATATAGGAGTACATTTGTAATATCTTCCATCATTATTCTAAGCGTTGCCTAAAAACTTTCAAACTTGCGCCTTACGTGTTGCGCACAGTGAAGAGGCGCGCGAGAGGGGAAAGTATAGGCTCCAGGAGTGGTGGTAGCTTCGAGCACATTGAGAGCAGCAGCAGCAGCAGCAGCAGAAGCCACAGAGACAGACTACTAAAATAGTTAGTCAACCCACAGCCATTGTAACGACCAGAACGTAGACTCTCTCCGTCTTCCATTCACACAGTATATGTAGAGTGTGCGATAGTTTACGCGCTCAAAGCTATAACCGAGCATTTTTGTTGCAAGAAGCGCGCGCGCACGTGCCGCACGGATCGTTTTTCCATACAATATTTTTTAGGTTATTAACAAACATTTTCGGCGGGACAAAGACATTGGAGCTAGAGTGTCTTTGCTACTCTTCTTTGGGTTGTTAATTGTGTTGCACTGTCTAGTGTGTGTGCGTGATTGAGTTAATATTCTCAGTTGTGTGCACTTAGCTGCACGAGTTTATTATAGTTTTGCCCCGAATTATTTCGCCTATTTCTGCGATCATGTCTGAGGTGAGTTGATAAGTTTTTTTTTTTTTTTTTCAAATCGGAGCTAGAAGAGGGATAGGGCTAGACTTCCGCCTCGGAGTTACTCCTTTTTTTTTTGTTTTGATTTCTTCTCGCTCGCACGTGTTTTGAGTCGGCGGCGGCTCTCGTGACTTCGAGTTGGCGTGCGACGACTCACGTGTGGAATATTGTGTTTTTATGCGTGGATGTATGTGTAGCCGCTTACTAGGAAGGCACCGGTGTTTGCGCAGACTTTATAATCTTTTCGAGTAAAATCGAGTTTTACTTATCTCCGCGGTCCACATAAGTATTACTTCCGGTCTGGCGAGAGATGTTTGAATGAAAAATATAGATATACCGCACCACGTGTTTATATCTAACACCCACCGCGGCGACACTGCTTGCGTTCATTTCGGGATTTTCCAATTTTTATAGTACAATTTAAAAATACCATATATTAATTTTCACCGGAAGCCGATATTTAATTTTTATTTTTCTTTGCTGCCGCAGACAAATTTCGAAACGAACGAGACAGGCGCCGCAGCCGCGCAGAGGGTCGAAGACGCGAACGTCAACGACGACTCTAGCAATCCATCGTCGCCCTCACCATCCCTCTCGTCAGCGTCTTCAACTTCGTCCGAAGAGAAGATGGAGATCGCTCACGCCCCGTCGTCACCGCTGGCCATGAACAACGAGCAGCAGCAGCCACAGCTATCGGCACAGCCGCAGGCTGCACCCTCACAGCAGCAGCAGCAGCATCAGCAGGTTGCTCCCCAATCACCCCAGCACCAGGTACAGCATCAGCAGCAGCAGCAACAGCTGCACCATCAGCAGCAGCAGCAGCAGCAGCATCAATCTGCCCCTGCTAACGCCGGCAGTGGCATGCAGCAATACTGCGTCTCCTGGAATTCATATGCGTCACATTTGCAAGGAGCTTTCCCCAAGCTGCTGAGCAGCGAGCAATTTGTAGACGTTAGCCTGGCCTGCGATGGGGGTAGTTTCAAGTGCCACAAAGTGGTACTCTCCGCTTGCAGCGAGTACATGGAGCGAATTCTGCTGGATCTGCCCTGCCAACACCCAGTCATTTTCATGACCAACATGGAGTACTGGGAACTCCAGGCGCTGATTCAATTCATGTACCACGGTGAAGTTTACGTTGAAGAGGCAAAACTCAGGCAACTGTTGAAGGCTGCCGATGCTTTACAGGTAAATACAGCGTTATCTTATCTTTTAATTGGCTTAATCGAGACCGACTAAATCAATAAAGAGACAGTTGACTTTGATCGATCAGTTCCATTTATAACATGCATCCTTTCTTTCTGCCTATTTTTAGATTCGTGGCTTGTCTGGCAAGAACACCGATTTGAATGGAGCTAAAGATGAACATAACACTCACAATAACATCCACCAGCAGCATGCTCATCACAGTACACCAAAAGTACCTACGAGCAACGCAGCTTCCACCCCATCAGCTTCCAATGCCTCGTCCACTGCTGGAGATTTCCCTCAGGCTGATGACAACAGTGCTGATGGATCTGATTGCGATTTGCATAACATAATTCCAACCTTGCCAGCCGGAACTACTGCTGTTCCAACTTCAGAGAACTTAAGCTATGACACTGAGCCAATCCAAGAAGATATGCATCATTCTTACGATATGAGTCTTGCTGGCGGTTCTTGTGAAACATCTGTTGTAGAAGGTCCTGGTACAGTTAAACTCGAGCCTGATGATCATCATCACAACATGATGGGATACAATGATAAGAACAACTATTCTGTCAACATGGTTCCAGTGAATGCCTCATGCCAACCAAGCAGTCCTTTCCCTGCTATAGAAGGTAATGACTTCGTTGGTCCCAGACACAAAAATATCCAAAATGGTCAGAACGGCCATAACTTAAGTACGTTTTTTTTGTTTATTATTTTCATTTTTTTATTTTTTTATTTTTTTTTCATCTTCTAAATATTTTTTATTCAGAGTATTTTTTGTTTTTTTTCCAAAGATGCATATTATACATTAATTATTAATGAATTATTAACAATGTATAATTAATTATTAATAACAATTATTGATTATTAATAATTAATGTAATTTTGAATTCCAATACAATTTTAGAATCACATTTACACATTTACACATTTACACATTTTTAAATCAATTTCAATCATTACTAATCTTTAAATTTTTTTTTGCCATCAGGTTATCAAAAACGTCAACGTCGCTCAGAAGCTGAACTGAAACTAGCTGCAGATCTTGTATCTCGTGGAATGACGTTCCAAGTCGCTTCAGAACAATACAGTATTCCCATAAGCACGATCCGGTTCTACATGGCTCGCAAAGGTATTTTGCAAAGGCGAAAGCGCGGCCGAGGCTCCAACACTAACGTTAATAACAGTGCAATGATGTCGAGCAATAACATAATGAACAATCAACCAAACAGTCCTACAGGCAATCCACCGTTTCACATGATGAATTATCGTTTACCGGAAAGTCTCAATTCGAGTCTTCAGTAGTCATCAACTGTAAGTGCGTCATCAACATCGTCTCCTCGTTTAAGATTTCATGTACCTGAAGGTCTTGAAATTTTACCGGGGCAGATAATGCAACGTCGCTTTAATGATGACGACTCCCCGCTTTAATTGTTATTATAGAATAGCAAAAACAAACTTCCTACACGGTGAAAAATTGATTTCTTGCGTATTAACATCAGCAACAGATCTCAAAAAATTGCATAACTTCATCTCTTAACAGGACATGGGTCTTCTTAATCAATTATTTTGCAAACACATTGAGCCATTTTGAAGAAAAACTGGTAGTACTGAAAACTACCAATTATTAGATCGATAACTCACTCCAATCGTGCATAATCAATTTATCTCATTTTTTTTATCATGCTTTTGATATCTTTTTATATCGTAATGATGATAGTTGATACTGATTGTTAATATTTTTTACCATTTCATATATTCGAGACTCCATCCTAACCACATTGTACATTTTTTTACTGTTATTTTTGAGTAATTCACTGACATTTTCATACATTATGTTTTTGCTATTTTGATTTATTGTTAGGTTTTTAAGTATTATTCAGTAAACATATACCTTACGGTAAAAATCTAGACTGTTATTCAAATTAATCATGACTTACAGATTAATCAATTGAATATTTTTAGCTTTAATTTAAAGTTCTGAACTGACTTTATGAACACTTGTAAATATTAAAATATAATGTTCCGATTAGCGATGATGTTGTGATGATTGCGTGATGTTATCAAAAGGGTGTATCAAAATTAGTTTCACAAGCGAGTACTCTTTAATTTTATACAATTGATTACTATGGAGTGTTTTAGTTACTTTGCTAAGTATGAACCAATATTTGGAGCTTTGATTTCTTCATTTGAGGTACCCTTTTGATTCAAAATTACAGCAAACATGAAGCATTTTCTATGTAGTGTTTCTGGTTTTGGTGTTTAATAGCTTGATACATATTTACATTTGTATGTATATTAACTTGAAGCTATATTGACGAATATAAACAATTATTCGTTTGACAAATGAATCGTGATTAGCATTTTTTGACATAATGCAAATATAAATACCGAAACTGATGCACCTACTCAAAAAATACCTCATTTATATCTTGTGTGAAGGATTGAAATTGAGAAATCACTAATTATCAATTCCACCTATTGTATTATAGTTGAGACATCTGAAAACACATCTGTTGGCTAAAAAAAGTAGTGACCACCATTTCTAAATGCTTTTTTCGTCTTACTTTTGCAAAATAATTACCTAGTTCCTGGTCGAATTGCAGCTACATGGCGATTGACATAAAAAAAAAAAAAAAATGATGGGTTTCCTAGCTTAAAAAGTCGAGAATTGTCGTACAATTGATGGAAACAAACCCTGCTACTATAATATATAAATTGTAGTAGTTCTTTTTAGCCTCGTGTGACGATTGTATTTATGGTGAACAAAATTAACTGATACACTAATAATCACTCGGTAGAATACTGTCTTTGTATACCGAATGAACTAAGTCGTCAGATGTAAAGTAATGTAAGTGTAATAATTAATATTATACCATATACTGAAATAAATGTAATTTACATAGCTATAAAAACAAAAACTTTATATTATAATGAGAAGTGTGAGTTGAAGTTGTATTCTTTAGTATATAGATATTTTTGTAGCAGTAAATGTAGATTTATTATAAAACTCATACTTATAGTAGATGAAAGGCATGACATTGAATGTTGTAAAACTAAAACGTCAAGTATCGTGAAGATAGCTTTCGGCCTCTTAATTTTTAATATTATCGAATAGATGCGTGAGCGGATTAATATTCGTAACTCACTAGTGTATCAACTCGTATTACTCGATTCGGCCCATCGAAATTGCTATTTCATTAAGGAACGATTTGTGTGTGAACCATAAATCTAAATACGAACAATATTTTTTTACTGCCAAATCAACTTTTCACGTATACTTCTTTTCTTTTATAATGTTGATATTGAAACTAACGTCGCTCACAATTTGAGATTGTTTTGTCAATTTTTTTTTATAACTATAGAATGTATTGTTGATTCACGAAAAGCAATTGTAGTGCAAAGAAATAATAAACGTCGATATGATAAAATGAATATTATAATTGTGCATTTATTGAAGCTCAGGAATATTGCACTTCCGTTGCTTTCGAGAAAAATTACAAATTTGAAACAGAAGAAAGAGAAAATAAATCATGACAGTATCTTTAGCTCTGCAATACTTGTTACAAATGCATAATAAAGTACGTATATAAATGATCTGAGAAAGGATAAGCAAACAAATGAAAATTTTGTGCAAAAATAATATTATAAAATGAACGATTGAAGTAACATAGCCATATTTTTTCATAGTCGATGCAATAATCATCCGCAGAATACATTGAATGAATAATAAATGAAAAATGAATCGTTTTAAGTATTTTGAGGAAAGAGTGCCGAATACATACTTATATACTGATAAGTAAAAACAACTTCAATCGACTATTTCTATCGAAATAACGCGTTGCAAGGTTTTAAAATTATTTTTACACTATTTTTTACTACTATTACATAATAAATAGACTTAATTTTTTATGCAGTCTTAGTTAGTAATATATAATTTTGATTGTACAATTAGACTGATCGTACGAACTGAAACAAAATAATACTAATTAAATTGTACTTTTTCCTACATTGCGTTCGAATCATGTTTTTTTTTAAAGTTAATTTGTTATTTTTACTTTTTGTTTATCTCGAAAAAATTATATTGTTGAACTGGCGCTGAAATAAGATGTATACGATTAATTGTTACGCTTTAGCCAGTCGGTATATATTGGGATAAACACGAGTCGATACAAAACAACTTTACGACATATTCCTGCATCATCATGCCAATAAACAATTTATCCTATTAAGCAAGTATTGTTTTTTTTTTATTACTACTATTTTTTGTCATTATCACAATATTGTATATAGCACTCTTTCCGCTCCATAAGCCCATGTGTCTATTTAAATGAAAGAAAAATAATGTAGAAATTATTTAAGAAGTTCCAGTTAAATAGAAAGATTTTATACAGAAAATCTCTATTGAATGAACCAGTATTTAAAACCAATGAAAAAGAGAATAAATGAGAGAAAAAATGATGTAATTAGTTTTCTAAAAATTTCACGCACACAACCCAACCATTTTGACGTTTGTTGAAAACGATAAAAAAATATTAAAAATAGAAGCAAACTATTAACAAAGTGGCTATGTAATTATTACGATAAAAACTATAATAATTCTGGTCTCTCTGAGTGCTTTGAACAAGAGAGAGAGAGAGAGGAAAAAATGCGAAGCCAGTAATAAAGCTCTAATGCACGTTACGATGTGTACATTGTATATTTATTGTAACGTTATATTTTTAACGAAACTTTAACAAAAAGGAAAAAAATTGAAAGAAAAACAACTAGAAAATGCAAAATCCGTGTCATACTCTCCGTGTACTATAGAGATTTTAAAAATAGAAAGTTATAATAACTGTTGCGTAATTATGAAGAATTCAATACTAAATGAAGAAGAAAAAATTACGATACAAAAAAAGGTAGTTATTGTTTCATATACACGAGTTTTGCTAAGCAGCTCTGGATAACTGAAAGAAAAAAAAAATTTTAACACGTACACACCAAGTATGATATTGTAAAACACATGATAATATTAAAATAGAGCATCATGGCATAACATAATGAATAATTTAGGTATTTATGTAACATATACGACGATGAACAACAAATCAAAGCGAAGCAAAGAACGAGAACAAGAATTTGTTGTACAAGCGACGCGCTTGATAAAAAAAAGTACGGTAGAATATTGTATTATCTTGTAGCTGAGAGTATACTCATATGAAGCTCAAGTAGCAGTAGGAAAACTACGAAACATATACGTTCAAGCCAGAGTCCTTTTTTCATAGTTCCTTGCTATCATTTTTATTTTTACTTTTTTCATCCTTAGTTGAGATTTTTTTCTCGTCGCTCCTTCGAACCGCAAGTGTGTCATTTTCTCGCTAAACGTACGAATCTTCTATATACACTGAATTGTAAAGCTCGTAAGAAACGAATAATTTTTTTAACAAACGAACTCACGAGGAAAAACAAAAAACGATAATTTTTAGCCTAATGATAATATATTTAGATCGTATCTTGTGTATCGACTTCGAATGAGCAATCGATGGTATTAAGTTGTAGATAGTTACTGTGAACAAAAAAAAAAATCGTATAATTATCACGATTATGCAAACGACTTCGGCTTCCCGAAATTTTTTCAACAATATATGTACGAAATAATTGGAAAAATTTACTTATAAGTTGGATTATTTCTCGCAAATCGTTTCTTTCGTTACTAATGTAATGCGCGAACTCGAACGATTTACAAAGTATTTTACAATGATGTGTGTATTGGTAGTGATATACTTATTATTATTGTAACGTGTAGTTATGAGTTTTTTTCTTCTTCTTTTTTCCTTGTGAAAAGAAATTTTTTGATATTTTGTTAGTTTTTTATACGACGATGGAAAAAAAATGAAATATTCAACAAAAAAATAAACGATTATAAATATAATGAAGGAATTTATCAATTTTTTCGTTGATATCTTATCTATGAACACACGACAAACTATAAAATATTGAAACGAACATATGTAAAACAATCGCGCGGTGAGTAAACTTTTGGAATTTTTTTTTTATATATTTCGAAATAATTAACAATTATAAGCGGGAAGTCTATCGATGTATACCGAGCATATACACATTTACAAATATACAAACAGTACGGCACTATTTAAGCGTTCGATAATATTAACAAATGAAGTATAAATGACTTTTTTCGGGTTCTAAGATATACAATAAAAATACGCGTGTTACGAAATGAAGAAAAAAAAAGTAAAAAGTATAAATATATATTATGAAAAGTACGAATGTGCGTGTGTGGCTCCATAGTGCGAGATCGGGAGAGAAAAAAAAACACACACACACACACACTCATTCAGACATAAAAATACGTAGAAAGTTTAATTGAACGAGATGATTGTTGGAATATAGTTTCCCATTAAAAACATGAGCTAAACGTTTTTTTCGTGCGAGGCGTGAACCGAGGAAGAATCATCACAGACGAACAATAAACTTAAATATATTAAAAAGTACGTTTCACTTTTTATTAAAATATAAAACGAAACTCAATAACCGAAGCTGTTAAATAAAAGTTGCCTTATATGAATTTCACAATTGTAAAAGCGAACAACACAGAAAAAAAAGAGTACGAAAAAATTGGGTTTGTTTCCTTCCCTTCCCTGATTCTCTACATCTTTATCAATATAAAAAAAAAAACAATAACAAACAAAAAGAAGAGAAGAGAAATCAAATTACATTCGTTGCTTCACAGTGCACTTCTTGTCTTCGACCACTGCTTATACATATTCATTGTAAATTGTTTAGTCGCATATAATTGCAGTTTATGTAATTAAACATTATCTATCTACCAAGGCAACGGCGAACTCGAAAAAAAGTAAAAATAAAAAAGATTTAGCTGTAAATGTATATGGATAAAAATAATTACAAGAAAAAGAAACTGCGATGTTTAAACACGAGCATGCTTTTTAACGTATAAATTATAGTGGCTTAGAGGGTGCAAAAAAATAATAAGCAGATTCTAATCTTACGTCGAAATAAAATCAAGCTAAATAATTTAAACGGAAAAAAACCACATAATTATTGGCCATAATAACATATATGTATATGATTATAAGGCATTTAATCGCTCTCACTTGCGATACGATGAGAAAATGATGAAAATGGAAATTGCAACGAGTGCAATCGATGATGATAATATATGACGACGGTATGTATGTATTTATGTATTTATGAAAGAAAAAATATACATATATAAATACATATATATGTATAAAAGTATTTCTTAATAAAAGGTATTTTAGAAACCAACATGACAAATGTCGAAGAAATTTATTTTTACCGTATACACTATAACTTTGAGAAAAAAAAATTTCGTTTGAACACTGTTGCTCGGCTCGGGCTTGGTGTTTGTTAAAAATTCTCTCCTTTTACGGTTACATAAATTCATTCCCCCCTTTTGTATACCAAAAAATTTCTATTTGCCATATTGTGTTTTATTTTTTATCAGCCGCGCGCGCGCGAGCTATTTACCAAGAGTCCAGAGCGCGACGGTTTTATTTTTTTTTCTATGCTCGAAAAAACTCATACATATAATATATTGTAACAAAAAATGTTCAAGTTATCAATTAATCTTATGTGTGTAATATACATACACACGCGTTGACTTCAATCAAAATTTCGAGCCCGATTGAATGTTAAACAACCATTGGTATCTATTTTTTATCGTTCAACCTAGATAATAAATTCGGGAATAGAGTTTTTTTGATAAATATAATATATAACATTTTAAAATACCTACACGAGCGCGCTCGGCTTTGAACATTATTATTTTTACTTTTTTTTTTCTCGAAAAATTCTTGTAATAATCATGCGAGCTTATTGTAACCACACGTGTATTATAGCTCGGAAGAACGTTAAAAATTTTTATTCACAGCAGTTCCGTGAAAAACTCACTTCGTCATTTGGGATATATTTTGTTGAAAACAAAACACGTTGCCGTACGAGGGTCTTCGAATTACAGACAGGATGACTGGAAAAAAAAAACTTTATTTTTACCCGCACGTGACATTATTAATATGTTCTATTCCATGGCTGTTGGTACCCAAAAATTGTCAATCTTTATCTTCTCAATTTTAAATGTCCAACCAGATTATGATGTAATAGCGCAGCGTATATTACATTAGATTCGGGCAGATAAAAAGAAAAGAGCATTAGAGAATATGAACATATTGTTAAAAAAGGTTCGGGAACGAAGAGCCCGGGACACCGAAGACGAGAAAGATAAAAACTAGAAATTTTATTTACATAACTTAAATAAAGAATCTTCGGGCATCTGGCCTATTTTCTCTTTTAACTATTATATATAATCATTATTATTATTGTTGCTTTACATGCGAGGAGACGCTTCGGGTCTTGCCTTAATTGGGAAAAAAATAACACGAAACATATTTGATCGAAACTTTTTTTTCTTTTTATCTCTGAGAAGCAGTGAACAATTTTTATGGGAGGTATTAAAAATAGACGGATGAATACTAATTTATAAACACATGCGTAGGAGGATTGATGATTATATGCGCCGGGAGAAGAGAAAGTTTGACTTTAACCGCCGATGCAGATGGCTTAACCATTCGAAAAAATCACTCGATCTATTATAATCTCCTCTCACGTTACAATTATTGTAGAGCTGCATGAAATTATCGTTCAGTAAACTAAGTATACTTATATGGCACGACATTGAATAAACTTTGAATTTTTTTTTCTCACTATCTCATCAATCAATCGATCTTAATTTGGTAAATGGAGAAAATTTTTTGTTTCTCTATTCAATATGTTATACTATATTATATTATATGGTAAAGTAATTCGAGCATATAATATTGTAACGGTTTTCGAGATTAAAAAAAATTGAAAAAAAAAAAGTGTACTCGTGCCCGATGGCACAACGTTCAATACGTAATTTTGTAATGTATATATATCTTTCTCTCGCTGTGACTAATATCCAAAGGGGGGAAGAGTTTCAAGTGAGAGACGTACCGACGGTTTTAGTCAAACATTTCTAATAGTTAAGAGTTTTAAAAGTTGTGTATATTTGGGTGAATGAACTCCCCGATTACAAACTTATGGTTTTCAACGACGAAGAGACTCCAGCCGCTTATTTATTTTATATTTATAGGTATACCGATATCGCGCGGCGATATATATATATTTATAAAGTTTAGTAGACATAAAAAAAAATATATATAATATAACGACGAATCTCAATTTCTAGTTCGAGGACGTCGTTGCATCACGCGATCGCAACACGACTAAGAAAAAAAAAGCGAGAATAATAACACGTTTATAATACGTATAAAAAGTAAAACTTCTTCTTCTAAGAATTCCGGGTATCGAATTTATCTAAATTTTTGTAAATGAGCCGAATGAATTATAATTTTGTCGAAGACTCAACAACAAGACGCGTATACATTAATACAGCACGCACACACATCTGCGTTATAACATACGAGAGCACGTGTGTGAAGGAACAAAAAATTCTTTTCATCTCTGGCATTACTTTTTAATTTTTTTTTCGTTCAAACTATGGTATTTTTTTTTCGTTATTTCGTTTTTTTTTCTCTCTCTCCTTCGTCAAAAAACTTTCTCGGATTTCGAATAAATAAATGACGCGGAATAATTAACACGGCCGCGTGAATCGTCTTGCCGAGTGTTTAACGCTAAGAAGCAATGACGACGCGGCTATGCGTATACAGGGTACTTTTTGTTTCATCGCTGTACGTTCGTATTTTTTTGAACAAAAATATCCCATGTTAGGAGCTGTGCTATATGGCAATATAACGAAATTTGTCGCGCGTATATATACGAGACTCGCGTGAGCTCTCTGTGCCGCGGAGATCCGTGTTTGTATGCCTGTTGTGTGTATAAGGGTCATCGACATTTAACAAAGCACAAAATGGGCGTTTGCGTTATTATATACCATTGCTTAGTTTTCTAACTTTGCTGGTTTATGCCAAGGAGAGCCGAGAGCCCCGAAGAGATCATTATTAATAGAATGGGTTTGATTGTAACTTATTTTGTTTTCGTCAACACGCGTGGTTTAAATGATGAAAAATTACGATAATCGCACGTCATATTAAATAATTAATATTTTTTTGGAGTGTAAAAGTTTACAACAGATCCATCTTAATTTTTCATTACTCTTGACTCAAATACATCGGAAGGAAATGAAAATGCCTTGTCATCGGAGTCTCCAACGGAAAATTTAACGATGCTTAGAAAATCTCTGATCATTCATACGAGGTCATCTCGCGAGAAGGAAGTACAACAATTTCCGAAACAAAAAGTAAAAGTTACTCATCGATCGAAAAGGTTTTACTCCAAGTCGGTAAGTTAACGTAATAAGGTTCCTCTACTATATCGGCTCTAGATAAATCATGCATGATACGATATTACAGGTCAAATTAATCCATATTTTACGAGAAAAAAAATAATGTCAAAGAGATTCGCTGAAGAGGACATAAAAAAATCATCAAACGAGTTGATATTTATTTTTATATTAACGAGGGAACGGCTGTTTGAATAATGTAAGGGTAGCATCGTTTCTTTTCTCGGAGTTGAACAGTAAGACGTATTGAAATGATATACAATAGATGCAATAGGTCAAGGGAGGAAAGTAAAATATCCAAGAAAATGTCGGAATACTCTTTGGAGGAAGAGAACAAACAAATTGGTCAATTTTGGGAAAACAATATGTTCTGGGTTGTTCAGTTTTTGAGAGGATGTTGTCTGTGGCCTTATACCAACGTTATATTGAAAGTTATAGGAAGAATAATATTTTTGTCATCATTATTTATTTTACTGCTAGCTAAAGTTATAATTTTTCTTTTTATAACTATACCTTTTGATTCTTTTTCAAAAAATTATCTTGTTATCAGATCGCATCAATAATAACGAGAAGAAATATATTAACAGGAGCAGAGCTCGCGGAGACTTTATTTCACCTGGTGATAATTGTAGGCACTTTTTTCGTCTCTGGTTTTCTTATGTTTTATGAGAATAAGGTAATAAGTTTATGTGGGTAATTAGAGTGATTTTATTCACATTTAATTTTATTTATAGATTGAAAAAATTATCAGGTCATTGTACTTTGATTACAACAATTCGAAAAGTGAGAATGAAAAAAATGCTGCATTAAAAATGATAAAAAATGGATATTGGGTCGCTGTCATAGTATCTAGTGAGTATCATTATTTGAAGAAATTAAGTTTAAATACAAGAAAAAAAAAATTATAAATTTCCAATTTTATTTTCTCCCTTTTCATTAAAAAAAAATTACGATTTTCAAAAATCTTTTTGTAACTCGTTTGTTGTTTTTAATTTGTTTTTGTTGCCCTAATGATCCTCAAGTTTTCAATAAATCCATGAATTGATAACAATATAAACTCTTTTATCGTAGGTTTAGTCTACTGTGTTTATTTTGTCGTGGGTATAATAATGGTACAATTACAAATACGCGAAGGAACTGCTCAGCATCATTTGGAATTTTACGTCGACGATAAAAAATATTTCTGGCTTTTGACGGTTTATGTGGGGGCGTCGATTTTGCAGATAGGTTTAATTGCTGCGACACTCGCATCGGCCAATATTTTTTTTAGCATTTACCTGATTCAAAAATTCCAAATTCTGCTGTGAGAAAAAAAAAATTACGAATACCGTTGCTATGCTATTCTTTCGAATAATTACTTCAAAAATTTACTTTCTTTTAGTAACAAAATTGAGTTCTTAGGCGAAGTTTCTGACTATAATAGGGTGAGAAATCAATTAATCGAAAATATTATCAACCACGACGAGTGCATCGAGTTGAGTATTTATAAATACATTTTTAAAATTCGCTAACAACATTCACAGCATTTTAACGATATAAAGTTATTTTTTCAGGTTCGTAAAAATGTTCAATGATGTTGCCCAGCCCATTTTCTTTACGATTTTATCGGGTCTTGTCTTTGTATTAAGTCTTGCAGGATTCTCGGTGAATACTCGTAAAATTTTAACGATAGCTTCATTAGTATAAACAAATTTTTTGTTGCTTCAATATAGATGGCTGTTATGTTCAAAGAAAACGACTTGGTCAATGTCGTGAAGTTTTCTATAACTTACATCGGAGCTATATTAATACTTATGGTGGCTTGCTATCCCAGTGCCAGACTAACGGAAACCAGTAAGAATATAAGTATGGCATGGTATGATTAATGACAAATTTTATTAATAAACTAACAGATAAAATATTATCATCGAATTCATTTTTCAAAACATTAGTTACTTTAGCGACTGGTATATAATGAAACCTAAATTGCGATCCCTTCTTATATTGACAATGGCAAGAACTTTGAGACCTTGTTACATAACAGCTTGCCCAAGCGTTCCTGTAGATTTTAATATGGTTACAGTAGTGAGTATTGATTTATTTTTTATTTTAAGTTCAAAAATCGATGCATTTAACTAATGTTTTTAGGTCTTCAAAACAGCCATGTCATATGTCGCAGCTTTGATTTCGATTCAATCTTAAATCATTACCCATACAGATGAGATTATGATTATACAGATTTACCTAAACGAATACTCGATTGAGATTTGATTTATGCAAATAAATACATTCTTTTTCTCTGATTCATAAAGTGCTGAAAAAATATTATCCTTTAATGAATAACTCAAACCGAAAAATCATTGTCAATCAAACTTTCGCGTATTATTAATTTCTTTTTAAATTTATTTCATTATATATAAAAATTAAGTTCAAGTATCTGAGTCAGAAGTGGGTTTGCTAAATTAATGTGTTTTTAAGTTTATTATTAAGTTGAATTAATGTGTTTTTTTAAATACCCTTATGATTAAAGTTCATTTTTTTCAATTTCAATAGCAAACCTTTTATTATAATTAGAAAGGCGAACGTTTGTAAATCAATTTCCACAGTTATTTTTAGCATCAGATTTGTCGGATTACAAACGGAAAAAAAATCGGTAAACGTCGATGTTAAAAATGCATAGTTTAATGAAAAAAAAAAAAAAAATCGGTGAGGCATACCAAGATACTCCCGGGCTCTCATTTTTTATTAAAAAGTGACTCTTACATAAAATAATAACATAAAATTTTGATTAAATAAACAGTGACTTTACAGTGACTACTTTATTTTTGATGTAACTATCATTGTGCACGTCGAAGAAATGTGTCGTAAATTATTCTTTGTTTACCTTTTTGTGAAAGTATAAAGTTTAATGTATTTCACGTTGAACGTATTTATCAAGAATAAAATTTAGTACAATAAAAATGATTAGAATATTTTCAAACGATAATGCGAAAATGATTGAATTTTACGAAAAACATTTTTACCTAATCTCAAAAATTATGAAGATAACTTTCATATGGCCTTATCAGGAGAAAAAATTGAAATATATTGGAAGATTACTTTTCTTAATAAATGCATATGTATTATTGCAAGCTTCGGTTATTATCTAATTTCCTACAAATATAAATATTTTTCAGAATACCTTAATCAAATTTTTTTTTGTAGGTGATATATTTTATTAGAAGAAGGAAAACGCTAGACCTAGAAGACATGACGGAGGCTTTATTTCAATTTATAGCTTTGATATGCACATTTTTGGCGTATATATTTTCCATTTCACAAGAAAAGAATGTAAGAATCCTAAAAATTAAATTCCTGCAAAATTTATGATATTATTTTTTATTAAGATTATGACGATTTTTATCATTTTCTTCGCTGAGTATGATCGTACAAAGGACTCTAACCAACAAATAATTACACTTGAAATTATGCAAAAAGGATATCAGATTGGTACGGTGCTTGGATGTAAGTGAAATTATGTGAAGAGATTCATTAATAATTTTTTTCGTTTATCAAAACGTAATTCCGTTTACTCACTTCAATTCTCTTTATTTAGCTTTTTATTCTCAAGTGAAACTATTACAGTCGATTATAATTTACATCAATACATAAATAATCGAGAAAAACCCAATAATCTAATCAATATTAAATCTTTCAAATTAAGATGATTTGCTTTTTCAGAAAATTTGATAAACAAAAAATAATTGTACAAATTTTTGAATCTAATAATTTGTATCTTTAATCGTAGGTGTAATATTTTCTGCTTACTTTGGAGTTGGATTTATAGTATCTATAATAGTTTTATTGACAGAAAAGACTACATTTTTCAAAACTGATTTTTTCATCGACGAAGAAAAATATTTTTATTTTTATTTGACGTATGGAACAATATGTGTAGTGCATGCAGGTTTGATTGCCGCAGCAATAGGAGCGCCATTTGTTATGTTTACCTATTATACTATTCAAAGATTTAATCAGATTTGGTACGGTCAGAAAAAGTTTCTTCGCAAATACTCTTGATCACTTAAAAAATCGGAATATATTTTGCAGTAATGAAATTGAGACATTACAAAGTCGACCTCAAACCTTGGAACGTTTATATAATAATTATTACTCGCACAATTTGAGGCTTTCGAGAAAAACGATTGAAATAATTATCGATCATAAAAACTGTGTGAAGTAGAGCAATTAATACTTAGAGTAAATTAATAATTAGAGTAACTTAAAAAGTACCTTAAATATGTTTTAATTGCAGCTTAATTCAGAATTTCAATAAATTATCATCACCGATCATTCTGATGGTTGTAATTGGCTCCCTGACTACCACGAGCCTTTCAGGATTTGCAGTAAAGATCTGAAATAATCTTGTTTTTAGATTAAGACCTCTCTCCTACACTTTAAAAGGGACATTTTTTGAAATCATAATAGTTTTTTTTTAATAATATGCACCTTTAAATACGATGAAATCTAGTTTGAGATGACTGACTAATTTCAATAAAAATAAATTCACCTTTTCTTTATAGCACCATACATATAAAAGAAATTTTATTGTAGATGGTTATACAGTTGAGGAAAAAAATGTTTTTTCAAGTGCTTAAAATGTTTTTGGCTTTTCTGGGATCTAAAATGATACTACTGATTGTATGCTATACTAGCCAACAGATGAAAGAAGCAAGTGAAAATATTAGTTCCGCGTGGTATGATCTAGTATGATATCTAAGGCAAAATAATTAAAGAAATTTTGTTTTTAATTTGATTCTATGAAATGCAATTAGTTACACAGGAAGTTGTTGGTATGAATTTAAACCCAAAATTAGATATTTACTGCTACTGATGATGGTTCAAACCTTGCGGCCTTGTTGCTTAATGGCTTGTCGCGGATTTCCGGTTAATTTCGGTACTTTTGCATTCGTAAGTGCATCTAAATATATTAAAGTGATTAATATTAATGCCTTATTAATTTTTCACAGGTTTTCAAAACAACCATGTCGTATATAACAGCTTTAATGTCAGTACAGACTTGAAATAAGACGGTACAGGCTTGAAAAGATAATTTAATCAAAAAAAGTTACGAATCAACTCACAGTATTTTCTTGTAGATATTTGTAGTATTGCCGATTGTCAGTGCATATAGTTTGGTTTTTCGTTTCGCCATAATCCTGTTCATTCGAACACATATCAATAGGCTCTTCTTTTATTCTGTAAAAATTGATAAAATTAAAAAAATACCCTTAATTATTTCGTTATTTTGATTTGAAAAATGACAATTACTCAGCAGCATAGTTGGTCGTATCACTGGATTTCATTTTTTTGCAGTGTTATTTGATGAATATTTTATGTTTTACGAAATGCAGTTAAAATTAATTAGTATGAAAAATTATGAAATCGAAATGAACACGAGTTTACGCGAGCAGAAGAAGCAGCCGAGTGACCTCGAAGTGTTTACAAATACCAAACAGAGCAATTGATGGAAGTGTATGGAACTTGAATTTTTTATGATTTTTTTTTCATTTTCTATGAAGTAGAGGGATTTTTTATTAAAAATGGGCTGACTGAGATAAAACTCGAACAAGATGTGCTTTTACTCATGTTTTTCTCTGCAAATTTCACAATGCTAACAAGGGGTTACGCTATAGGTTTCAGAAAACTATTTACTGTGGTTCAAGAATAGTTCTTTGTAAATAAGCTACAAAAACTATTTTCAGCATCGAATTTTTCATATTGCAAATGGAAAATATTCGGTGAACATCGAAGTTATATTCATATATTTTAGTCAAAAGAAAATCAATGAGGTATACATAGAGACCTTCTTTTTCAAATCAAAAGTCTTACATGAATGAATAAATTAAACTTTCGGTCGAATTAAAATATATTTACTGCAACTACATTCTTTTTTGTGTAACTAACGTTGAGCATATCGAAGCAATTTTCTTCAAATATTTCTTTTTTTTTAAGTATAGAGTTTAATATATTTTATGCTCAACATTATTATTAAGTTGTACGAAACAATAGATGATAATAATTGTTAAATTGTTCAAAATCTATTTCATGGAATTTGAATAATTAAAAGTACAAAAATTGTGCTACAATGACTATAAGAATTTTTTCAAATGATAACAATAAAGAAATGATTGCGTTTTACGAAAACCATTTTCCACTACTCCCAAAAATTGTGTAGATGACTTTTATATGGCCCAATCAGGAGAAAAAATTGAATATTTCGGAAGATTACTTTTCTCAATCAATTCATTCATAGCATCACAAGCGTCCGTTATTATCTACTCTTTTTTAAATTATAATAATACTTTTCAGGATACTAATCGAGTTTTTTGAGCTAATATATGTAATCAGAAGAAGAAAATCTTTAAGTTTAGAAGATTTCACTGAGACATTATTTCAATTAATAACTTTGTTATGCACATTTTTTATATATTTGATATGTATTTTACAACAAAAGAAAGTATGAATACTGAAAATTAAATTTCAACGAAATTGATAAAATTCATTTTTTTCAAAGTTTGGGGTCGTATTTATGAAGTGCTTTGCCGAGAATGATAATTTAAAAGACTCAAACAAAAAAATTATTACACTTGCAGTCATGCTGAAAGGATATCGAGCTGGTACGGTGCTTGGATGTATGGAACAATCAAATCGTTATGTACAATAGCAAATTTTTAAAATGGCAGTTTAAATTATGATAGGCTAAAAATAGTTATGTAAAATTTCGACTAAGAAATAATCGTTAGGGAATAAATGCATCAAAGTTTTAATTATAATAATACTTTTCAGAATACCCACTAGATTCACATAAACATTAGAATATCGGACTGTTTTAAAATATTATGCATAAACTTTAAAAAAGTGAATTTTTTTTGAATTGTGTCATTAATTTAAAGAGTAGGTCGATCCGGGCATTTTTAATATAAAAATAGAAATAACTTTATTTTTGATATGGCTAACTCTTACATGAATAAATCAAATATGCTTTCGATTTAAATACAATGAATTTATCGTGAATACTTCATATTTCATATGAATATCTCAGAGAAATATGTTATTAAATTCTTTTCAAATACTTTTACATAAACGTATAACATGAATAAATTGGATTTTAAGTTTAATTTTTTTATTATATTCGAGGAAAAATAAGTGACGATAATGGTCAAATTGTCTAGTATCTAAGTGTCTAGTGTCTAGTATCTAATTATTGGAGTTTAATTTTTCATATGCTGTTTTAAAATTTTCTTAATATTTAAAAATAAAAAAATTTAATTAAAATGGCTAGAATTTTTTCGAACGATAACAATGGGGAAACGATCGAGTTTTTCGAAAAAAATTTTCATCGATGGTTAAAAATTCAGAAAATAACTTTTTTATGTCCTTATCAGAAAAAAAAATTTAAGCATACAGGAAGGATACTATACTTGATCAATGCATTTGTAGCATTACAAGCTACTGTAATTATCTATTTTTTAATATTAATATTTTTCCAAATACCTACTGAGTTCTTTTTTCAGGTAACATATTTAATCAGAAGAAGAAAAACTTTAGGTTTCGAAGATTTAATTGAGACATTATTTCAATTCATAGTCTTATCATGCACATATTCAGTATATTTGATATGGATTTTACAGGAAAAGAAGGTTCGATTCTAAAAAATTAGATTTTAAAGAAATTAATGATATTTTTTTTGTAAGATTTGGAACCTTTATATGAATTTCTTTGCCGAATATGCTCATTTAAGAGACATCAACAAAAAAATGATGACGCTTGAAATTATGCAAAATGGGTACAAAATTGGTGAGGTGCTTGGATGTAAGTGGAACTATGTGACGATATTTATCAAAATGCTAATAATGTTTCCTTACCAACTTTTTTTATACTTGACTTTAAATCGTATACTTGATAATCGATTGAAATTTTTACAATTTAATTATCGAGAAAAAAAATATTTATCACATACAATAGCATTTGACGAAGTAAAATTAATCTGTTTTTTTTTCTAGAAATTTTAATTTTGAAATTTCGAGAAAAATATGAAATTGAGAAAATAACGAAAAATAACTTTATAAAATTTTGAATATGAAATGTCCGCTTGGAAAGAGATGCTGTAAAGTCTCTATTGTGTTAATAATGGCTTATAATATAATATTTTATATATTTCATGATAGCTGTTATATTTGGTCTTTATTTCGGATTTGGATTTATAGTATCTATAATAGTTATATTGACAGAAAATAATACATTTTTTAAGATTGATTTTTTCATCGACGATGAAAAATATTTTTACTTTTATTTGATTCATGGAATAATAAGTACGGTTCAAATAGGTTTGATTGCCGCTGCTTTAATAGTACCATTTGTTATGTTTACTTATTATATTATTCAAAAATTTTATCATATTAGGTATGATCATATATTTTTTTACATAATTACCTTTGATTCACTTAATTTGATTCAAAATCGGAATATTTTTTGCAGTAATGAAATTGTGACATTACAAATTCGACCTCAAACTTTGGAACGTTTACATTCGAATTATGCCACGCACGATTTGTGGTTTTCGAGAAAAATAATTCGAACAATTATCGATCACGAAAAGTGTATCAAGTTGAGTAAATATATTTATTACGTCAACGTATAAACATACATTTTTCATTTTAAGAAGGTTATTGCTTCAAAGGTTCAAACTGCATAAAAGGCAGCCTGACATACATTGATTTTTCCCAAAATCGTCGTAACAATGCCTATTTTCCTTTTTCATAAAAAATGCCAATTTTACTAACAACAATTTAAGGGCTCTCTGTACACACTCAGTCGATAACAAGTACGTCATTTTTTTGTACCCATTTTATTTATTCTCTGGTCAACCATTGAACTTGAAACTTCGTAGGAGTGATTATGAAACTTATAAAAATGTGCCTATGGCGCTAGTTTTCAATTAAATGACCGGTACTTTCAAACAAACTTGATTTTCTATTATCCCCCTTTTACAACCTAAAAAGTAACGTATTCTCAAACAATTAGTTTAAATGATTTTATTAAACATTGTATTGAAAACTGGCTCCAGAGGCACATTTTTATAAGTTTCATAATCATTCCCACGAAGTTTCAAGTTCAACGGTTGTCTAGAGAATAAAAAAAAATGGGTACAAAATAATATCGGTATGTCGGTATTTGTCCCTGATCTGTATAGAGGAGCCTTAACGATTGCCCTGATTTACACTGGGTTAACATCGATTTTGTCCGATGGAACGACGGAATTTGCTATACTTAAACCCGTTCCACCACTCTGTTGGATCGGATAGAATCGATGTTAACCCAATAACGACCAAAATGCTCGATTTTTTTGTTGGTTTTCGCAGCGATTTTTTTTTGTAGTTTGAGGCCTCCAAAAAATTTCGTATGGACGGATTTCGATGTAAAATTTAATACCCTTTCAGAAACTGAGCTCAAAATTTCGATTCTTTGCGTAATAAAAAAGTTATAGCTATTTAAACAAAAAAAAAAAGGAAAAATTTTGGCAATGTTACCATGTTACCGTTAGGGAATCGCGATATAAATATGATCAGGGGTGATCACGACTATCAAAGTATCTCAGAGAATTACGCAAAGAATCGAAATTTTGAGCTCAGTTTCTGAAAGGGTATTAAATTTTACATCGAAATAGGTCCATACGAAACTTTTTGGAGGACTCAAACTACAAAAAAAAGTCGCTGCAAAAACCAACAAAATAATCAACATTAATAATTCAATAAACGTCTCAAATCATTTTTCTGTTGCAGCTTAATTGAGATCTTCAATAGATTTTCAGTGCCATTCATTCTAACACTTGTAATCGGCATTATAACTACAACGAGCCTCTCGGGATTTTCCGTAAAGAATATTTTAAGGGATAAATGATAATTTTCGTAAACTTGAAATGACCTAGTATTTGGGATAAAAGCTTATGGAAGCACAATGGAAGGCATTTTTTTTTATTGCAATTTTTGTTGGATTAGATAGCGCTATTTACCGCACTTTTGATAATAAGATTCTCAGCTTATATGATTTAGCCACTTGTTTTTTATTTATATGAATAATTTTAATTAACTGTTCGGGAAGAATGACTTTTTATTATAACACGGAGAAACCCACATAGGAAAAACTACTATGTGTATAGTAAAAGTGTGACATCTCTGCATTATGGAAAAATTTACTATAAAATGTATGAAAATTTATTAGAATTTTAGTAAATATTACCAAAAACATAATGAAAATGACTATAATACATAGTAAATTTGTCCATAATGCAAAGATGTCACACTTTTACTATAAAATATAGTAATTTTTCCTAAGTACTTTTACCAACCAACTTTAACAGGTAAAGTATACGGGCGGTCGCTTTGTTTGGCCTCCAGTCAAATCAGCTGGTCGATTTTTGACCGTCACTGACGACTGTGAAAACAGCCTATATGGGTTTCTCCGTGAATAAAAAATAAATGCATCTCTTGTTATTAATATAGCACTCATAAAATATATTTTATCGTAGATGATCGTTCTGTTGAAGCAAAAAATGTTTTTTCAAGTCCTTAAAATGTCTGTGCCCTTTCTGGGATGTTATGTATTGCTTCTAATTGTGTGTTATCCTAGCCAACAGATAACAGATGCAAGTGGAAATATTCATATTGCATGGTACGATCTTATGTGATATTTGAGTAAAAAGAATTAGAGAAATTTTGTATTAATTTGATTCTATGAAATGCAATTAGTTACACAGGTAGTTGTTGGTATGAATTTAAACCCAAAACTAGATATTTACTGCTATTGATGATGGTTCGAGCCTTGCGCCCTTGTTGCTTCATGGCTTGCAGTGGATTTCCGGTTAATTTCCGTACGGTCACTTTCGTAAGTACTTCGATATTTATTAAAATAATCAGTGTTACTGCCTTATTAATTTTTCGCAGGTTGTAAAAACTACCATGTCATATATAACAGCTTTAATGTCGGTTCAGACTTAAAACAAATAATGTTGGAAATAAATGAAAAGCACATACATTGCAAAGAATTAAATTAATTATTCAATTACTTGCCACACCTGTCTCCATGAAATTATGTATCTCTAAATAAATGATTTAAGTTAATAAAATCGAAATAAACATGAGAATATAATATTTTGAATTGTTGTGAAATTATGAGAACACAATTTTCTGACAATTACTTTCCACATATATCACATAAGGATTACCACCGTTGCATTAAAAAACTTGATAGATAAGACGCAACATTTGAATATAGCCGCCTCAAAGTTTGAGGCTCAAACTGGTGGTAGCGACGCAACAAGAATTTACGAAACGAGGTAACATTCTTACTTTTTCGTCTGCTCAGTCTCGTGCTAGCTGTAGCTTTGTATAGTACTTTGTAGCACTGTGATTTATCTTAATTTAACAATTAAAGACTCTTATAGTTCAAAGTATTGTGAAAAATATTATTCTACATTGAAATGGAAGGTAAATCATGATAATACTCTGAGAAAATTCGATTTAATTAATTTTTTTCATCCAAAGTATGATCTTATACTTTTCATTTATAGGTTCTACTTATCGGAAGCATTTGTATCCTGTTTCCCAATGTTGCGTCGTGAGCTGCAACAGTAAAGTGACAGATAAAAGTAAAAAATTTTATTCTTTTCCAACGGATAGCAAAATTTATCCTCTTAAGGCTAAAAGAAGAGAGAAAACAACGATGACATGTTGTGGGTGCCTACGATACATCATAAAATCTGCTGTCGTCACTTTATTGGAAATGAAAAATCAGACGATTTTCAAAGCCCAAGTTATAACCCGACAATATTTCCAGCTTATCGAACGGCAATATCTGCATTTCCTGACGATGCACTAAATCGCTATTAGGCATTGTCCCGATATGAGTTAACCGCGAGGTGGCGCACTTGTGTTATGCGACGTCATGCGCACGGTACGTTTTTCGCGAAAATTTATATAGCGAAAAGAAGTTCGTCGTCAGCTTTACGGACGTTACACTGTGTAGAAATAATTATAATAGTAACAAGTCGGATAACACAAGTGCGCCACCCCGCGGTCAACTCATATCGGGTCAATGCCTAATAAGCGAATAGTGAAGAGAAGGAGAGTATCTTTAAGCAATGTAAGTCAGGTAAATTTATCAACAGCAGATGAAAATAAAATGGATAATGAAGTCAGCGGGCAGGAAACCATAAAACAAGAGCAAGAATATCAAGTAACTGATGAAAATTCAAGTTGACGAAATTTAAACTTTACTCTGCCGAAAGCCGAATCAAGACAATAACGTGAAACACAACGTGAACTAAAGAATTTAATAAGAACCTATAATTTCAACTAAGTATTTTAATTATTTACATTTTTGGATGAAAACTTTATTAATCGAAAAGTTTATTAATCGATATAATTAATATTTTGTGAAGTTTCATTTGAACTGCAAAGTTTTTTTGTTTAAAAAAATAATTAATAAAACAAATTTAAGTATAATTTACCATAAGATTTTCATTTGTTTTTTTTTCTTCTGGTCTGTCGTTTCTCGTAATTTCATACATGTCAGCTTTAAGTAGTTAATTTTGAATTTCATGTATGAAGATAGTTTCATAAATTAATCGTTGCTGATATTATTTTTTTAACCGTAAAACCTTCTTAGAATTCCAAAGACATTGTTTGCATGATTGATGAGTACTAGAGAACTACTATTCAATGCCCTGGGAATTTGAATAATATTTGCCATACATACATGGTCAAAGTAGTTTCTAGCGATGCTATATTCATTTTTATAAATTCGGATTTTTATTGATTACCAATAGTTCTTGATAATTTTCCAAAACGCACTTAAAAATCGATAAAAATGATCGTGAAAACCTCAAATAATCCAAGCCTTGAAATCATCGAATTTTACGAGAAAAATTGTTACTTTGGTACTAAGCTTATGAAAGTCGCCTTTATATGGCCGTATGGAAATACAAAATTCGAACTGATGGGAAAAATGATTTTTTTAACCAACATATTTGTGTTAATACAAGCTAATGTTATTATCATAAAAATCAATCAAGTTACTATTTTTATCAGAATAACTATTTTTATTTCAGGTTGCATTCCTAATCAGAAGCAGAAAAATTATTGACTCTGTAGTGATCGCTGAAACTTTCTTTCAACTGACTTTTTTAGCATGCACGTTTGTCGTTTATTTTTTTACTGTATTACAAAAAAGGAAGTTACAGATGATATTTGATCAAATGTTTGTCGAGTTACTTCATTCAAACGACGGGGACGAAAGAGAATTTACAAAGAACATTTTTCAAAAAGGATACCGATTTAGTATAATGTTTGCCTGTGAGTGGAATTTGATGTGTAGAAATAGTACTTAATAAACTTTTTTCACATACCCTAGTGCAAAACTCGACTTTGTTCCTCCTTTTCCGGGAGCAAAATCGACTTTTGCATCGCGCCAACTTCACGTTGCATTTTGCTCCCTGCTTGCTTTACGTGAATACTATTGCATTGTTTTTTCTCCCGGCTTGCTTTTTACGTGTAGCTACATAAACGCACCTAACCATACAGATTATCATTTTTGCAATAAAAAATGGCTATAGTAATCGATCAATTAAGCGATGAAGAATCATTTGACGAAGACGATATACTGAAACAGAGGACAGAGCTTTCGCAGCAGAAGCTGAGCGGATAAAATTTAATTTACTGCCAACAAAATCTCGCGGGCAATACGAAAAGGCTTACTCGGCATTTATACACTGGAAAACTGAAAATAAAAGATCTTCCAGCGAAGATGATTTACTCGTATATTTTGATAAACTATCGGCATTATACAAGCCACCTACGCTATGGAGTCATTGGTCGAAGTTGAAATCGCTGATGATATTGAAAGAAAGTATTAACCTCGATCAATATCTATTATTGAAAAATTTATTAAAAATAAAAAGTAAAGGTTACAAACCTAAAAAATCAGCGGTTTTAAATATGGAATAAGTGCATAAATTCCTGATTGATTCGAATGATGATACTTATTTAGCCATGAAGGTGAGTTGAATATTGTACAATATCATTGGGCTAAACCCTAAAATTTTTAACACTCTATATTCTTATATTTAGGCTATTCTGATTTTTGGGATATTTGGTTGTCTGAGATGTAAAGAATTTTTAAACCTACTTACAACGGATATAACAGATACAGGTTCTCAGTACATCGTTTTAATCAGAGATACAAAAACTGGAATTGATCGAAATTTCGTCATTGGGCAATAGTATTATGGTATCATCAAAGCATACTTAGATCTGAGACCTTCAGATATGCCAAGCATTCGACTATTTGTTTATTATAACAAGGGAAAATGCACTCGACAATTCATAGGAAAAAATACCTTAAGCGACATCCCAAAAATAATTGCTCAACAATTAAATTTACCAGATCCAGATTCGTACACGGGGCATTGTTTCAGACGTAGCTCAGCCACGATACTTTCAAATACAGGCGCCAACTTGAACATGGTTAAAAACATGGTGGATGGAGTTCTGATATTGTTGCACAAGGCTATTCAGCATTTTCTATAGCAGAGAGAACCGAAATTTTCAATAAAATGGCTGGTCCTTTATCGACTCAAATTCAAACTCCTTTGCAAAGAGATAATATGAAAAAAACCTCTTCTGTGCATCCTAAGATATACGCGTCAGCTCAAGAACAGCCTTCTACTAGTGAATATAATTTGAAAACCGCCCCGCCTGTGCAATCTGTAACCAGCACCTCAGCTCAAAATCCGCCTCCTAGAAATGGGTGTAATTTGAAAAAAAGACCTTTGACATTTTCAGTGGCTGAAGATATTGAAAATATTGACCCTGCAGAGTCACCGTCACAAAAAATGATCGATAATTTTATGAATAATGACGATCCTAGTGAAGAAGCGTTATTTCAAGAAATTACTCTTGACTATCACCATACTGGTTATGATGTTAATGAAATTTCAGCAAAAAGAAAAACAATGTCAAATGATAACGTAATTACAGATGAAATTTTTCTAAAATCATTGCCAGTATTTAATAATTGTCGAATCGAAACAATTATTATTAATCATATCTAAGCACATGAAAAGCCAAAAAATAATTTATAAAATTGATATAATTTTAATGTATTATAAAAAATGTGTTTGTATGATTTAAGTTATTGCCCATAGTTATAATTATTACTTATGTTCATGTTTATTGAAAGTATTTAAAATTGTTACGCTCTGTATTAAAATATAGATAAGAATTTTCAAGAATTTCATGTCTAAATTTTATTTACATTTTACGGTAAAATGTTGCTTGTTCGTGTATATGCCAATGCCCGTCCCTACCAGCAGCCCTCGCTTCGCTCGGGCGTGCACATGTCGCGGGCATTGCCAAAAACATTATGATGTGTAAATAAAATGCCAATAGGTCGAGTTTTTCACTGGGTATTTGAAAAAAAAGTATATGTATATGCAAGTATTTATGAATGTTAAAAATAGAATTTAACATTAAACAATTCAAGTAATTCTATCTAAAATTCGAGTAATTAAATCAAAACAAAATTCGAGTAATTCGATTTAAAAAATTCAAGTAAATCAATTTACAATAGAAAAAAAAAGAAGCGCTGCAAGATGTGTAACTAAAGTCACATTTAAAGGTAAAAAATTAAAAAAATAAACAAATAAAATAAACCAAATAAAATGAAAAAGTATTTGACGTTGCACTTCCGGTGTTCAAGCATATTATACAAAAATCACCAGAAGTGCAACTTTTTCGTTTTATTTGGTTTATTTTATTTGTTTATTTTTTTAATTTTTTACCTTTAAATGTGACTTTAGTTACACATCTTGCAGCGCTTCTTTTTTTTCTATTGTAAATTGATTTACTTGAATTTTTTAAATCGAATTACTCGAATTTTAGATAGAATTACTTGAATTTTTTTACTCATGTGTCATTCTATATTTTTGAAATATTTAATATTTTGTCAATAATGAATTTAATATATTTTTTATAATTTTTAAATAGGTTTAATATTTAGTCTTTATTTTGGAACTGCACTCATGTCATTAATATTTCAAATGCAAGGAAATGTTTCAATTCATTATCTGGATTTTTCCATCGATGAGAATAAATATTTTCATATTTATTTGATTTATACAACATTTAGTATTTTACAATTAGGTCTCTTTCCAGCAGCACTTGTCGTACCATTTATTGTAGCCTGTTACTTGATTTTTGAAAAATTTCGAAGGACTTGGTAAAGTTCATACAGATATATTTAAATGATCGGCCATATGTCGTAATCAACTATTTAATAAATATATATTTGTTGTAGCATTAAAATTACTACGTTACACGTTCCATATCAAATTTCAGTAAATTCACCTAATTTTTGGCTTTCGAGAGAAACAATTAGACGAATTCACGATCATAAAAAAAGTATAAAGTTAAGTTATAATTTTTTTCGGTGTTCAAATATCATTCAAGTCACATTGAAATTCAATCAAATATATTGCGAATAATACTAAATCAAAGTCCCATCTTTTGAACAGAAGTTCTAGATAAATTTTACTAAAACAGACAATATTTCCAATAATTACAGCTTCGTAGAGTTAATGAATGAGTTTTCGCAGCCACTTATTTTTTCGATCCTAACAGGCATTCTCATTAGTCTGAGTCTTTCGGGATTTACGGTAAAATATTTACTTTTTCCCTTCGTGATCTTTTGAAAAATTTGAGAAACGAAAATTTTACTGGTTTTTTCAAAAACAGATGGTGATTCAATTGAAGAAAAAAATGATTTTAAATGTTTACAAAATGTTTTGTGCTGCTTTGGGGAGTAATATAATACTTTTGGTT